CGAGGGCGAGGTGACCGTCGATCCCAAGCACCACAAGCACTTCGTCGCCAAGCGCGGCTTCATCCTGCACCGCATTTCCGAGGAATGTGGTGGCGTGATGATCTCCTTCCCTCGTGCCGGCACCAATTCCGACAAGGTGACGATCAAGGGCGCCAAGGATTGCATCGAAGCGGCTCGCCAGCGCATTGAGGAGATTGTCGCTGATCTGGAAGCCCAGACCACAATTGAAGTGGTGATCCCGCAGCGCCAGCATCGCACCATCATGGGCGCCAGGGGCTTTAAGGTTCAGCAGGTGACATCCGAGTTCGATGTGCAGATCAAGTTCCCCGATCGTGATGCCACCGAACCCGTTGAGGGTCTGACCAATGGAGGTAGCGGCCAGAACGGAGGCGAGGAGGGCCAGGATGGCCAGCAGGAGGCGGAAGTGGAGCCAGTGCGTCAGTGCGATGTAATCCGCATCACCGGCAGGATTGAGAAGTGTGAAGCCGCCAAGCAGGCTCTGCTCGATCTCATTCCCATCGAGGAGGAGCTGACGGTGCCTTTCGATCTTCACCGCACCATCATTGGACCGCGCGGTGCTAATGTGCGCCAGTTCATGTCCAAGCACGATGTGCACGTGGAGCTGCCGCCCAGCGAGCTCAAGTCGGATGTGATCAAGGTCTCCGGAACGCCCGCCCATGTGGCCGAGGCCCGCGAGGCGTTGGAGAAGATGATCGAGGACTATGAGGCCGATCGGGCCGATCGTGAGCTGCGCTCCTTTGTTCTCCAGATCGACGTGGAACCGGAGTACCACTCAAAGCTCATTGGTCGCCATGGCGCTGTGATCAACAAGTTGCGCGCCGATCACGACGTCAACATTTCGCTGCCGAAGCGCGACGATCCCAATCAGCGCATCATCTCCATTACCGGCTACCAGGCCAAGGCCGAAGCAGCGCGCGATGCCATCCTGGAGATTGTGGGCGACCTCCAGACCCTCCACCGCGAGGTTATCGAGATCGATACACGCATCCACTCCCACATCATTGGCCATCGCGGACGCACTATTCGCAAGATCATCGAAGATTACAAGGTGGGTTTTTTTTTTAGCAAGTTCAATATCTTGTACTATATCCTAAAACCTAGCCTAGTTCCCTGTCTAAAACACCTTATTATTATTTCTTAACAGGTCGACGTCAAGTTCCCCTCTTCCGACGATGCTCAAAGCAACCCTAATGCCGTAACCATCATTGGCAAGGAGGAGGATGTTGAAAACGCCAAGGACCTGCTGCTAAGCATGGCCGAGGACTACGAGCGTGACTTCTTGGAGAACTTGCCGGCATCGCCGCAACCGCAGACGGTTGGTGCCTTCCTTTCTGGATCGGGATCTGGATCCGGCGCTGGAGGTGCCAGCGAGAACGGCTTTGTTATCAAGGACGCGCCGTGGGAGAAGCAGAAGCAGGCCAAGAACCTGACTGCGCCCAACACTCAGTCGCAGGAGGACTTCCCGCACTTCGCTGCTGGCGGGGCTCCGGTGGCCACCACGCCCATCACTTCTGTGTGGGGCCCCAAAAACTAAGAGGCACGGGCCAAGTGTCCCGATCGCCATCAGTAGCAGCAATACTACACGTCGGGGTGCGCCGGGGATCGGAGCTGGAGGTGGAGAATCGGGCAGTGAGCGGCAGAGCAGCAGTGGCAGTCGTGCGGACGTCTCTTTAGTCGAAAACTAGTGTCAAAAACAAAAACAAAAACGGTATAGGTTGTCTCCCAGGAGCTTTTCTACAACGCAAATTGTGCAGGTTAATTGAAAATCAAGAATGACGAAACAAGCAACTATTTTTGTATGATTTGATACAGGATCAATTAAACACACAAAAATCCCCACACACCTCACAACGACACTTACACGATCACACATATGAAATTGCATTTATACAACATATATAGAATACAAGAATCGAAACAGACAATGGACTCACGCCCCCAGTTCCGTTCCCCGATGTGTTGGCTAAGCCCCGGCCACTTTATACATAAAACACTTAATTGCCAATTTCTTTTTATATAACCATTCTTCATTGCAACACATAATATTCTAATTAGTTGAAGCTCCCTAAAAGTAAGCAGAAAGTTCAGTAAATGGTTTGTTAATTGAAATGAAACTGACTAGCGAAACACGTTCAAGAACGAAAATAATTGTAAGCATAAAATGTTAATTATTTACATTTACCCTCGCTGCTCCCAATCTAATTTTTATCGCCCCCGTTTTGATTATACCATACTCAGATCTTTCGTTTTCGGAATTTCCATTTCCCCTTTTCCCAATTAAGTGATTATTATGATTTATGCGAAAGTAAATGTTAAATGAACGTTGATTGTATTGTAAAAACGTTTCTTACGTTGCGGGGCAAGAGTGGAAGTGGAAACGGCGATTTATTTGAACAGCAAATATACACCTTACTTATACATTAATTTACTATACTTTCCGCACGTCTGCTCCTGCTCCCAAATCCTCTAGCGTTGTCCTTTTTAAACACACACACACAGCCATGATACCGATACCGAAACACAAAAACACACCACACAAACCCTAATCACATTTCAAAATGAGTACCAACATTTTAATTTTGTGCAATCCCTTTGATTTATATTAAATTGTTTTCGACTTATGTTTTCCACTTAACAAACTTCGTATGCGTCGCGGTGTTAGAATATCTGAGAAAGATTTGGAACTCTTCTCGTACTTTGTACGCGTATCGGGTGATGGTTTTTCAGTTATCTCGACTCTGCACCGCGCAATATCTGACAGTTGAAACACAAAGTATGAGAAAAATTTTTAATTTTTTACTATTACTATTCAATAAAAACAAAAACCATATAAAACAAATAAAAAACGTAAACAAATCGTATCTTTTTTTGCAAAGTTTTTCTTGTTTAACTTTTCTTTTGTATTTGTCTTTGGATTGCTTCTGTTTCAAAACAAGTATATGATAACACCAAGAATAACAGACCTGATATTGTAAATTTTTAAAAGTATACATACATATTTACAACAACTGCATTAGTAATTCTAAGAACGTAGAGAATACAAACGATATAAAATGTATATATTTTCCTATATTAACGGACAAAATCAAATGTACGAGACGAAGGCCAAAAGGCGTTTGCTGGCTGCAAAGCAAGATATTTCACTCACGATTCGATTTTTTACTATTATTTTCAAACCAGATATAGCAGATACAACCGTATGTCTTATTTCTTTTGAAATACAAAAGTTTTAAACCGAAACCCTTTCTGTTTAAATCAAGGCATGATCTGGCAACTCTGGCAAAGAAAAGTTGAACAGAGGATGGTGTTATTACCGGACGGCAACAAGTAGGGTTGTGGAACTATCGATAAGCTCGAAGAGCGGTTTATTCTTTTATTTTAACAAAAGTCAAGTAATTTAAATTGAATATAAAACATGTTTTGGCGTGGGCTTAGCTAATTTTATTAGGATAAATATTTAAACTCGATTATTTTTAGTGCTCTAGCGATAGAACTTTCGGTTGCGAGCTTGATATCGATAGTGGCGTTTGTTCCTTTCGCTAAAGCTAACATCGATAGCTCAAAAGAGAAACAAAAATTTATTTTCAACTTAAAATTTTTGCGACAAGTGCTTGCAGATCGCTTTAAAATAGTTTTTAAAATTTCTGGAGACTTCAAGAGACATCTCAGCAATGGAGGACCGTAAGTGTGTTGGAGGTGCAGCCAATGCAATTCGTGCAATTTACCTGCCGCTGCACATGTTTCTTGGGAGTTCTTGTGACCTGGCCATTGGGACACCTTATACCTTTCGACACCTAGGGATTATCGTAGGACGCTGATTCAGCGGCTTGGCAAATAGCTCTGGGGTGGCTAGAATTAACAATGGGCTGGCCTTGAAAGCGGCGGATGAGTCATGTTTCTGATTTGCGTAGGGTGAAAGCCTTTCCAAACGCCCGGAAACTCGTGGGAGTCGTTCGACATGTCGTAAATGGAATTTATTTATAATATGGGGCTATATGGAGGCATTTAAAATGCCTAGTGTAAACAATGCATATTGTTGTGACGTGGCTGCAAGAAGCGCAGTTTCCAAAAGGCGACGAGATGATATGCGTATCACCCAGGAACGCCTCTTCCAACCGGGTTTATCATAATTTTGCGGCGCTAATTGTTTGGAACATTATATTCATTCGGAACCGCTCAATAATTGGCCATCGCTTCCACTTGTTGAACTTGCGATTGGTTTGGGCCTGCCACAACAACAACATCTCAAAAACAGCAACAACTTGTAGAAAACCAGACCCAACTCACATACATATAGGGCCTATCAATGTGGCACAGTTGCTTTGTTTTGGTACAGTAAATAATGGTTGTAGGAAACTGGGAAAACTAAAACAAAAGAAAATAAACAAATAATAATTATCGTTTGGCAAAAAGTCAAAACTATTATGTCTGTTATTTTCTATTTTTGCCTCACCAAACCATCCCAGTTATGTACAGTACGCATTAGTTTGGATCGCTCCATTACTTAATTGCATTTTAAAAGTGCTGTAAAAATTATTAAAACGAAAATGTAGTAACTCTGGCTAACAGTTCTTTAACTGCGTACTATTTCGAAGTAAAACTGTTGAAACGTCAGAATAAAAGAAAATTTTTCTGCACATAAAAAGATAATGGTTCCTGTCATTAATTGGGTATTTATCTATACTTTTTTATCAGATTGTCCGTGATTGGATACATTTTTTAAAAATACAATGGCAATAAACCGTCATTTGATTATAAAAAATATAGATTTTACATGGCAAAGTCAGCGTAAAATGCAATTGAAAGAAATCTTTTGAACCTATGTGTACTGTAGTTGCTGCTGCTGTCTGTTGCTGCCCCTTTTGTTTTTCGCTCTTTTCTGTGGCGTTTCTCGTCTTTCGTGCTGACACGAATCATCAGCAAGCGGAGCCAAAGAGCCAAGCAATCCACATCTACCAATTTCTAAGCCGAGATCGAGTCAGTTGGCTTTTAGCTGTAGGAGAGCGTGGAAGCAGAGCCAGAACCGAAACGAAACAAAAACTTAACACCAAAAACCAGCTGCGATCGCATGGGGAGAAGGGGAATTTATGTGGAACTCGGAGGGGAAAGAACTGAAAGCTCAGCAAAGAACCACCGCCAAAGTGGCTAAAAGCAGGGCCAAGAAAATGTGCTCAGAGCTGACCGTGGAAACGTGATACCCGCCTTAGGATTCGGATTCAAGACCACATGCTCCTCCTGCGCCAGCTGCCACGTTCAAAATAGAAAGTTGCTGCCAAAGATGAAAGAGACCGCAGAATGAGCGAATCGGAGCCCAATAGCCTGGAGTTCATCGAGGACCCCTACCTGCCGGGCATCGATGATCTCACCAGCACACCTTCACTGGATCTGGAAACGCCAGAAGCCGCATTGGATTGGTATGGCGACGAGCAGGAGGAGAGTGAAGCGGAGCTTTATCTGCGTAATTTGACGCTGGATCAGATCTTCTACGATGTGGATTCGGATTATACCAACAGCCTGGAGCTGCAGGCAGTGGAAGCTGAGTTCATTGGAGCCAAGTTGGCCAACCAGACACCCTCATCGTCCATCGCCAAACGCTTTCGCTTGAAGTTCTTCACCAAGCGAACCATGCGCGACGTTAGGGTCACGTTCATAGACTTCTCGAAACCGTATCTCGCCAAGATATCGAACAGTGACAATTACAAGAGATTTCTCAACATCGGGCATAGAAGTAGAGGTACCAGTTTTGGGGCTTGGGTCAGGGTTCTTTGTTCTGGGTCTTTCACACACGTTCCCCTTTCCACATTCATGAAAACCATGACTAACCCGACTAACTTTTCTGTCTCTTCCTCTTTTGCCTGCCTTTCGCCTCGACAGTTTGTGAGTATTACCCATCACCCAGAACTAACCAATTAACCAACTCATGTCTTTGCAAATTGTAACCGTACATAAACAAACCGAATTCGGTGTACTCAGCCTATGACAAAGTCTTTGAGGAAGTTGCTTTCAAAGGAGGTACATAAACACTGCCCGCAGACAACATTCAAATTAAGCTACAGACCCCCCGACAGCACCCGAGTTTTTCATTTGTTATGGAATGCAGATACTTATTGGGTTTCTTCTTTTGTGTCCAGATAATACAGCTAACCTTTCGGACCCAGCATCTCCAGCAGCTTCTGTGGCATCCGCAGAAATTGCTGCCGAGTTTGCTGCGCTTTCCGTCGAGGAGAAGGAGCAACGTCGGGCTGAATGGAGTCAGGTGAGAAGATAATTTTAAGTCTATAAATTTAAGTTAAATTGCTCAATAGTAAAAAAGTAGTTTAATGAAGTTCAGTTACTCAAACCGGTTTTCTTTCTTTTTTATCTCGTTTAGTTGCTTAAATGCTAACTGTTTTGTTCTTCTATGTTCACTTGTTTATTTTAATTAAAACCTTTTTTTCTCTTCGTCTTCATTCCATGTATTCATTTTGTCATTATTTTAATCAATATATTCATAACCACAGTAAATAACTAAGTACGGCAACAGTTAAATTAGAGTTAAATAAGATGACAACCATTAAAATTGAACCGAATAATAATATAGGTTAGTTACCAAGGAAAATGAGTGAACTTACTTTAGAGAGCAATGTGCAAATGTTATTTGTAGAAAAGAAACCCCACAAATTTCTGTTATGAACAATATGCTAACCTATAATCCCATATTTTACAGGAGCTTGCCCGCGTGGAGGAGGAGATCAACACGCTGCGCACCGTTCTCGCATCGAAGACGCGTCATGCCTCCGATCTCAAGCGCAAGCTGGGCATCACCGTCTGGAAGGAGGTGACGGACGACATGAACCAGGGCATTAGGAACCTCAAGGAGAGCACTGTGTAAGTCCACAAACCGGGCATAGATCTGCAGGGCAATTAACCCGACTAGTCAGTTATAATTTCTAACCAAGCTTTTCGTTTCGAACTCATGTTAAAACGCTGAAACATGTATTTATTTAGTTACCAATCGGTGGAGCAGAGCGTGGGCACGTTTACTAAAGCCGTGCACGAGGCACCCTTGTAAGTAATTCGGTTGAGGATGGCCTTTATTGGGGACTCCACCGGAGTTCCCGGACTAACGCGGTGTTTCACGATACTTCCCCTAACACAATAACCCTCTCTCGCCTGTTTGTAACTAAAAGCACATTCGTTTGCCCACTTTGTGTATTAAGATAACTATCATGATGACTAACTAACGATGGAATTACTTCTATTCTTTCATAGGTACCAACGCACTGAATCCGTGCTGAAGTCCACGGGCGAAAAGACAGCCTCGGTGTTTGGCAGCATCACCAGTGGCATTTCGTCGAAACTGTCGCAAATGAAAAACTCCGAGTCGATGCGTTCTATCGAGGCTTCGGTGGGCTCTGCCTACGAGAACGTTAAAGTAAGCTATGAACACAACAATTTTATGTGCCAATCTCATGCGGTAACTACTATTTTATTATATATCTGTCTTTACACATCTCTCATACTGTTGCGATTCTGTTTGGTTCTCGTCTAACCGCCACCGAAACTAACCACACACATTTTCCACACTTGCTCACCCACTTTTTACTCACTCTGAATTGGGATCCTTCGGTTGATTTGCTTGCTTACACAATGAACCTTCTTGCGCGACTGCTGCTGCACCTCTACTACAAACTGTTCGGTTTTCTGTTCCATTGTAGACCAAGGTGACATCCCGGTCGGGTTCGGTATCCAGTTTCCCAGACGCCCTGGACGAGAACAACACATCCTCGGGCCTGAACTCACCCACAGACTCACTCACTAAATAGGTTTCGGGGGAACTCCGAAACTAAGCGCGTCGATAATGTGGAGAAACCTATACTACACACAAACAGACCCACGCACCCACTCTAATAACTTATTAATTAATGCGAATTGTCGTGTCTGCGCACTAATAACAGGATCAGAATTTAATTACCAACAGATCATATGTACGTGTGTAGTTGTTACGGTATATATAACTTAAATTAACTAAAATCTGTGCGTCATATTTGGCCAAAGGGAGCACATTATAAGCATATATTTGTATTTGCGTGTGAGACACCATCAACTGCATGATTTGTTTAAATTTTATGCCAGGAATGCGGATCGGAGGGCTTGCTGCATTCATTTTTTATAACTATCTAAGCATTCGTATTTAGACTAAACCATTTTGGGTGTCCTCAAGTCGTCATTCCCAAATGTTTCCAAAACTTAGTAAAATCTTTAGCGAAACGAGCAGTTAAAGAATATGTTCTTTTATTTTACACTTTTTTTTTCTTCTCTAGGCATTGAGTTCCGTGGTTAGATGGCGGTCCCGGTCCCGATAAAAAGCCAATTCCAAATTTATTTAGAATTATACTTGAATTACGATCAGAGCTTGCGTGCAAAATAATAAAAATCTATTGGTAATTTTAAGAGGGTAAAACCCTTACTGCTAAAGAGAGAGAAAATTTTCACCCGATTTGTTGCTAATGCTGATCTAAGATTTGCTATATGTGTATGAAAATCTTTGAATAAATGCAAAATTTTTTGCCCCATAAAATATGGTTAACGATTGTTTTTGTAAATATATTTTTGGAAACATCTGCGCTATCTAATAAATTTATAATTTAAATGCCATATGACCGGTATAAAAATTTAATGAGATACAAAATCATGTTTTCGAAAATAAATAATCAAATCAGAAAATGCCCGCCAATAAGTTTTGCTTATCGGAAACCAGGGATGAACTGATAACAGCTGTTCAGTTTGACGGGTGGCAACACTTTTACATACTCCTTGGTTTTTTTTCTTCAACCTATAAGAAAATCTTTGAAAATGACGAATTTTAAATGAAAACAGCGACCAAAAAGAACGCAGTGTGATGCCGGAGTCTAAATAAACCACTCCGAAGTAAAGTGCAATTAAATAACATAGTTTTATACAACGGAAACTGGCTGGCAAGCCGGAAGAAAATTCGCCTTCACGAGCTTTGTTCTAAATGCCGAAGAAGTTTATTACTCATTAAGCGAAACGCATTTGTGTGCCTAGTTAGTTAATTAATTGAAGCCGGAAGATGAACTTCACGTACGTGTTCGTTTTAATTTGGCTGGCATTCCTTATCTGCAGCGGAGTGCTGCTATTCTCGCGGGGATTCCTCCTGGCCCGTGTCTCCAAAACCGAAACAAGCACCTGCAGGAGGTTGTCCACGAATCCCAGCGCTGTGAGTTATCCTAGTTATCCTAGCCAAATCCAACGAGTCTATAATTCATTATCTCTTAGGAATATGTTCTCACTGACGAGGTTGTGAACGAGATATTTAAGGATGTGAACGCCTCCTCCAATCTGTGTCTTCCGCAAAAGTCAAAAGTCATCATTCTGGTTGTGGATGCCCTAAAATATGAATTTGGGTTGTATAAGGAGAACACGAGTGAACCTCTGCCCTATGAAAACAAATTGGGGGTGCTGCAGGAGCTTCTGCAGCAGAGTCCCGACCATGCCCGCCTTATGAGATTTCGAGCGGATCCGCCCACAACCACGTTGCAGCGTTTGAAAGGTCTGACCACAGGCAGCTTGCCCACTTTTATAGATATCGGCTCAAACTTTGCGTCGCCGGAGATCAACGAGGACAATGTCATCGACCAAATAGTCAAGAGCGATCTGCCGCTAGTCTTTCTGGGTGACAGCACCTGGACGGATTTGTACCCACGGCGATTTAAGCGATCCTATTCCTATCCCAGCTTTGATATATTCGATCTGGACAGCGTGGATAATCAGATATTGAAGCACTTGCCCAAGGAGTTGGCCAGTGATGACTGGCAGGTTCTGGTCGCTCATTTTCTGGGCGTGGATCATTGTGGACACAAGCACGGTCCCTTGCACGAGGAAATGGCGCGAAAGCTTAGCGAGATGAACGAGGTGATAAGGTCAGTATTGCGTAAACCTCAAACCTTCATAAATAACAAATATATTGATCATTTAGAGATGTAGTGGCTGCGATGGACAACGACACCACACTGCTGGTTATGGGAGACCATGGCATGACTGCTTCCGGCGATCATGGCGGCGACACCGATGACGAAATCAATGCTCTGCTATTTGCCTACTCCAAACAGCACAGATTCTATGGCAATGATTCGGGCTCAGATAGCGAAATGCTGCAGCAGGTGAGATAAGACAAGCCGTAATCTTGGCACGTCACTGTGATAAGCAAGCATGTTTACTTTCCAGATTGATCTGGTGCCCACCTTGGCGACCATACTTGGCGTCCCAATACCCTACTCCAACCTGGGTCTCGTCAACTTCAACATTGTGCCCGATCTGCAAGTGCCGCACTTGAACAAGTTCCAGACCCTGCTTCTCCATTCCTGGCAGAATGCCCAGCAGGTCTATCGGTACTTCTTCCAGTACGCTTTGGAGAACAAGCGCACGTTCAACGTGGACCAAATGGATCGACTGGAAACGGAGTTCATACTGCTTTCCCACCGAGTGCAAACCGTATACAATGAGGTTGCTTACAAGTCCTTTGTGAGGGATTTGAATACGAATCTGCGAGATATCCTGGGAACTTGTCGGGAGATCTGGGTGAGATTCGATCCCACGCAGATGTCGCAGGGCTTGCTCTTCAGCTTCCTGCCATTGTTCTTTATCTTCCTGCTCATAAACAACTCTCGCCCGGCTGAATACCCCAACATTTTCAAACCCAAGGAGGTTTTCTACACATACCTCATGAACTTGGCCGCTGGAGTTTTTGGATATCGGTACTACAAAACCTTCTCGCTTAAGACGGAGGAGCATGGAGTGATCTTGTTTACGGCTTTGTGCAGTGCTGTTATTTTGGCTTTCCATACCCTGCGCCACTGGACCAACATCGCTACCAACTGGTCAGCTGTCAAGCGATTCGGAGACATGCCCACGCGCCTGCTGCTCTTCGCTTCCATGGGTGTGTTCTTCTCGAACAGCTTCGTCATCCAGGAGGCCAAGATCTTGTCCTATCTCTTGGCAGCATCTATTCTCCTACTGTCCCACGAACTACTGCGACTGAGTGCCCGCTTGGACTTCAGGTCAAAGTTTAAGGCCACCCAGTTCCTGCGATCCACAGCTTTAAGACTGATCTTGGCCAGCATTTTGGCGATTTGCTTGATACGCTTTGCCTACACACTGTTTCGTTGCCGCGAAGAGCAGGGAAATTGCTCGGACTTTGCCAACAGTGGTGGAGCAGGTTTCTCGATCAAAAAACCGGGTACGGGAAAAACCTACATTCTGGCCGTTGTTGTACTCGTGGTGTACACCACCCTGACTCGTTTGTACCTGCGATCCTGCGGTAATTTGACTGGCAACTCACCAAACGTGCTATTGGCTCGATATGGACCTACGGTTGCCTCTATTTGCGCCGGTGGACATGTGCTGCTCGCTAACAGTTCCATTAAGAACATCCAGCGCACTCACATTGATGCAATGGCTCTGGTTATCTACGCTTTGCTATTACTGCAAATCATCGTGGTTTCCTTTGCACCACTGATGACATTTGTGCTGCCTCCTAGGAGTTCCCGAACTGTTACCATTAACGGAAGCGAAAGCATTGTGCCGGAAATCTTCAGGAAAATGAAGCGCATGTACGAAGGCGATGATGACGAAAGGCGTAATCAGATTCCTGTTGTTTATGGATTGGCTACGGTTTACTCTTCCATCGTCATTGCCTTTGGCGTCTTTCTGGCTTTGGTCATGATAGTTCTCCTGGAACCGCGCGCTTCCATTGGTTTGATTGTCTGTGTGGCTGTAGGAGCTATTTTGCTCAGTGTTCATGGTATTTTGCGCTATCGCACTGCCACTAGCTTTGGTAAGTTATTTGTTTTGGACTACGAAAAGATGGATTTATAATGCGAAGCCCTTGTTTTCAGAGAGCTGTGTGCAGCCCACATTCACCGCCCTGGTTGGCTGGTTCCTGCTGGCTCATTTCTGCTTTTTCGCCACCTCACATCAGACCACCTTGTCACAGATTGAGTGGCGTGCTGCCTTCGTCGGTCGCACCACTGGCATTGGACAGTCGAATGTTATCTCGGGCACCCTGGTCATCCTGAACACCTTTTGCGGACCCATTTTCTTCTTCTGCATGTACTCCCTCCTGAGTACAGAGACATTTTCGCTGTTCGCACTGTTTCCCAACCTCATCCGGAGTTGCAGGAATGGTGGAAAGGCGGATGCGACTACCTCCATGTCCGATTTGGCTAACGAGGCTGTTGGTTTTGATATGACAAGGGGCGAGTTGACACTGTACGAGTATGAAGATGTTTTCCTGGGAACGGGTTTCAAGCTGGCCACTCAGTTCTTTATGTTGCAGGGTCTTAAGGTAAGTTATATTCTTATATAACTTTACATAATCATATATTTTATTAATTATTAAATTCCTTTAGATATTCTGTGCCATGATGGCCTGCACTATTCACTGCCGCCACCTGATGGTATGGAAGATCTTTGCTCCGCGTTTTATTTACGAATCCCTCGCCACATTCGTCAGCCTGCCCGCCCTGATTGTGGGCTATCTTCTGGTGCTCCGCATCCACCGTGCTGTGGACACCCTCATCAAGCGCATCAACAAGGAAAAGGTCCACTAGTCTCAGCCCAAACACAACTATTTATTTAGGCCTTAATAAACTCACGTAATAAGAAAGTTCAACGATGTTTTTGGTGGTCTTGTAGTCGTTATCTTATTTTCTTTAAGCTTAGAGTTAGAGTTAAAAGTATCGGTTCACAATTTCTCCAAAAGACACAAAAACGTCACATGATATCGCGGATCTATGGATTTACATTGTTTCTAGTGGTATGGCTTACAAAATTAACACGAGCAAACATGACAAGAAAATTAAGTACGGGTGGGGCTCTTGACCTCCGGTTTCGGTTGCGGTTGCACTACAAACTATAGACTCGACACAAACGCCTCTCGTTCACGGTTCCTTCATCCTCCTGGGGCTAAGTACGCAAATAAGTAACAGGGTGTGTGGGTGTAAGTGTGTTTTTGTTTGGGAATTGGCCGGGGTATAAATCAGAGCACTGGGAGTAGGCCCAACCAAAGACAGATTGGAGGGACCTCCCTGCAGTTTTTAAGTTCTTTTTTTTTTGTACATTTTGTTGCCAGGTCATTGGTGTTTCTTATAACTTGCTTTTGCCGTGTAATATGCGTGTGCAAAAGAGATTCAGGGACAGTTCAGAAGCCTATTGACCGTTGAGGAGCAACGGCGTGCTCGAGACTCCGTTAGCGGCGCCCTTGACTACAAAATCAAAAGAGAAACAACAGTCAGGCGAAAATTAAAAACTAGAGGATCCAAAATGAGTGCCATAAATTTCGAAATTTTGAATAGGAAAGAAGTTGAAACAGGAGGAGTGGCATGCATAGGAGCTACGAAAGGCAGAGGCTTATGGTATGTACAGCAGTGAAAGTTCAAGCTTTTGGTTCTACATTCTTTGGCTATGCATAATGTTGACTCCCGGCCGCGTGACCTAGTCGCTGTTCTCGTCGTAGGGATGATACTGCTTCGGCGGCACTGGCGGCTGCTCGTCCTGCTTACCGTGCGTCGCCGATCGGCAGAACTTCTTGGTGGTGCTCCAGTCCTCCTTGAGGGACAGATTGAACATGGAGTAGTCCGGATCGCCGGTAACCTCCTTCACAATATTCAGGAACTTGGGCATGCAGTTCTTCAGGGCATCGCCGGTAAGCGATGAATACGTCTCCAACAACACCAATCCCTTGCAGCTGCAGGATAGAAATTTAAAAATTCAAACATAATGAAATTTATGAATTGCAAATGGTTATGTTAAAACGCACCGTGGGTGGCCTGGCTCCTTGTAAATGTCCAGCTGGAAATATTGGTTGTTAATCAGGAAGCAACGGCGCTTCTTGTAGATGGTGAAGTGGGCATCGTCGCGCTGGGCCAGCAGGTTCATGTAGTCGCGATGCGTCAGCTGAGTCTTCACCTCGATGCGGGCCTGCCCGTGGACGTTGGGTCGTCGCTGCGTGTGGATGTAGCTCCAGTGGTTCTTCTGGCCGCGCTTGCGAAGGCGAGCCTGCACCTTGGGACCGGCGGATTGCAGATAATGGTGCACCACTTCAAAGTCCTGGAAGGGCGGAAACTCGCTGTCGGGCGGCAGGAGGGCAACTGCAAGAAAAGTCAATATTAGAGATGATCTTACTATGATGAGTTCCTTATAAAATCCTACCCAAATATTTCAGCTTGCGTGAGGTGGCCTGCAAACGATCGCCAATATCGATTCCCACTTTCTGGCATACAGACTCAATCATGCGGTTCATCTTGGCCTCGAAGTTGGTGGAGTTGTCGATCACATCGAAATAGGGATGTCCCACCCAGGCGGCCGCCGATTTGTAGTCCAGCTCCCTAGCCAGATCAACGCCCTCTGAGCGGCAGGCGTGGTCCTGCAATTAGCAAGTTAAAGGTTAGTTTTAGTAAGGAATTTTAAATTCGAAGCCCTTAGCCCTTTCTAGAAAGCCACTAGCACTAGTTAAAGATACAGCCGCCACTTTTAAAGATCAATTGATTACTAACAACTTAGTTTTTGGTCGATATCGCAATAAATGCTAAATAATGAATTCTTTAGAGAGAATGAAATGTGACAATCGAAAAAACTGCATGATAAAGTGTGAAGCAACAACAAAAGGAAAATGAAATAACAATTCAAAGAAAAACATGACTAAATATCGCACCAAAATAAATACAAATTATTTTATGCTCTATTGTTTGTAAAAAAATAAAAACCCAATATTTTCAATACAGAATTGGAATGGAAGTCCGCGATCAACTGTGGCAGCCGTTGGTAAAAGTGCAACCATTCTTGGATACCTGATAGTGGCGCTTTCTGTTCTACCATATTCGGGCGTTTTTAATTTGTGCGGACAAGAGAACTGGTCAAGTAAAATTATTTCTGCCAGCCTGCGGCCTCAACTCACCTCTGTGGAGTAAAAGTCCTCGGCACCATTGGCTGCTGAGACCAAGTGAAGGATTTGGTTGTAGCGATTGTCGCGCATCTCCACGGGATTCCACTTGTTGCCCGCCATCATCTTCTCCCACTTATCCTTCGATATGTCTGATTAAGAGGAGAACAAAGATTAGTCTTCGAAAAGCATTGGGTAAATTCCATTGGGAGATACTCACAGGCACTGGCATCCATAACGCCGCGGTCGCAGATTATCAGACAGTTGCGGGTGCTCGAGTTGCCGAGCTCGAAGTAGGTGTTCTCAATTTGCACCATGGTGCGGATCAAATTCTCCTGGAACTTGTAGGCTGCATAGAGAAGGGAAGGGGAGAAAAGATTTTAGTCTTTGGACCCTCCACGTTTGTTTACAATCGAAACAAGTAGAAATCTAAATACAATTGCAAGCAAATTCGAATCGAAGGGAAAAATAACACTGTGTGGGCATCGAATTGTAAAGAGACTTAATTGACTGGGCTCTGATTCAAGTGTGATGACAGTGCTTGATGGACGATGACCAGTATCCAGTATCTGAGTATCTGAGTTCAGCGATGTCAATTTGAGGCGATGAAAACTAATCTGAATTTGAGCCGATGGAATGAAAAGGCGAGAGCACAAATCGAATTCATAAGTTCAATCAACTTGTTGTCAACTGATGTGACTAGTAATTCTTCCCCAAGTAAACAGTTTCTAATCAGCAGCAGGTTAAAGAGTACTCGGCACAAGTCGCCTCCTCCAGATGTTACTGTCTGGTACTGAATGGAAGGACGGCCCATATGCATTGTGTTCGTTATCGCTTCCTCACTTTCAATTTAATTTCAATGCTGATACTAATTTAAAAAGCGGTTGAAAGCAGTTGAGCTCCACCTAAATTCTGGTTGTTTTTAGTTATCTAAAGCTCAATAAATAACACAACGTAAGTAGTATTTGTAAAAACAAATTTTCAAAACAATGAAACTACTTTACAATAAAGCAAAAGCAATGTATTAATTGTTATGTGTTCAGCAATATTAATATTGTTTGACACATTTTTAAGCATATATTTATAGAGTTCTTTATGCTGCTACTTTTGTAAAAATGCACTTTAGTTTCAGAGAACTGAGTATTAAATGCGAATTCTTTCTAGGAAGTTGTTTTGAAAAATATTCGCTGGCCTTGCCGCTCGAAACTAGAGCTTTGTGTGTCAGCAATCTTAAGCAGTAGGAACAAGTAAATAAATAGTAATCGCTCATTGCGTCACAGCCTCAGCCGGCCAAAGTGGCGATGAGGGGTTTTTTCCCAGAGACAGGGAGTCCCCGGTTGCCGTTATACCGATAAGCTATTTCATCACCCCACTCTTTCTAACACAGTCGAAATTCTCGAACTGGAATGTTCTTTAGCAAATTTTAAAATTATGCCAGATGTTTAAAAAAAAAACGAAATACATTAAAATATTTTAGTTTATTTAAAGAAACACCTTTTCATAATTTAAATTCTTAAAAACTGATCACTTTAAATAAAACAAATGTAATTCTCTGATATAAGAACCTAAATTTAACCTATCATTATATGCCTTTATTGTTTTAGCTATCAAGGCTCCACTGTGGTTGCACTGCAGTTTGTGATCCACTCGGGGGGCGGTTGAAAAAGGTGGAGTGGGGGGATCAAAGTCAGGTGCTTTTGGGGGAGCGACGCAACAACACTTGTTGCGGTTCTCGGTCGCGTGCAAAATAAAAAAGTTAGCTGCCTAACGAGCTGCCTTTGTTTACGCATTAGTTGTTGTTGCTACCGCCTTTTTTTTTTGTTGGTTCATGTGCACTGCAATTGCAATTGCAATTGCATTGAACTTGACTCGGTGCATCGGGTGACAGGTGAGATCGATTTGTGGGAATTTACGGGACGCCTTTCGCTATTGTTTACTGCTCTGCTGGTTGGTGCTCTGTTTTCCGCCCACTTTCTGTTTTTGTTTCGGCTACGCGGTATTTTCTTTAGCCCTGCCAATTCTAATTCAATTAGCAACGATGATGCAAGAACAAAAATAATGGAAAAAAGCCCCAAGATGTATGTAAGCCAGTGTACGCGTATTTGAAATTTCACCAGCTATTGCGCATCAGAGAATGGAAATCTCTACACCGAAAAAAATTCATTTGGAACTCTCTAATCCTTTTAAGTTAAAAGAAAAGAAAGAAAACTAACTAACTGTTATATGTGATTTACAGTTGAAAAAAACTTGATGTATTAGGTATCTGTACATTATGCCAACTAAATACTTCACCTAGTTAATCCTTTAAATAATAATTTTACAAAATTTCTCTACCAAGTCCATATTATTTTTCAGGTGAACTAAATATCTGCACGAGTGTTTCTTGAAGCGTGTGAGTGTTATTCTGATTGTGTGTGATTGCCCAGCCAACCTTTAATGGACTCTCGAGATAATAAGAGTGTATGCAGATTAGGAGGCTCTTTAGCCACATACATAATTAGCCAAGTTAATTTACATAATGCCTGAGAAACGATTTGCCTAATGAAGAAGTTAGATAGGTATTTAGAAAACAAAAAGCGAAATGAAGGGCGAAATTCAGGGGGCGTGTGATGTGGATGTGATGTGGGGTAGCGAATCAACAGGCAAAAATAAAATCGTTTAGCAATCAATTTCGGGAAATCAATCGAGCAGGGAGGACCACCAACAAAACCAACAAAAGCGACTGACAGACAGCGAGCGATAACAAGTTCAAACGAGAATTCTTGGCAAGACTTGCGACAACCCCGCCCCCAGCCCCGCCCCTTCCTATATTATCTATCAAATGTTCCTATATGTATCTATACAACTATCACACGTTTCTAGCTACACACAGTTGCGGTGGAAATATTTGTTCTATTAGCATGTTTATGACTGATTCAAAAAAATATATTTATAAATGTGTTTCTATGTTATGAATATGTATTAGAAAATAAAATTCTAACACTTTAAAACTAAATACTTTAATAAAACTTTTATGATAAACCATTAATAAATTTGGTCTAATAACATTATTTTTTTAATATAAATGTTTCTCATTCTCATTAAAACGATCAAAGTTTACAAAGGAAAAAACTGACATAATATAAATAATTTGTACAACGTTCAATAAGAAGTCAAATATTATTTTTATGAATTGACACATTTACACTGAAAAGTCAATATTTGTCCAATGTGTTTTTCCACAAGGAACCTATAACTTATAGATTACGTTTTGTTAATTTGAATGTGAATAAAAGTGCTCCATATTCTTGACCATTACTGTCTAAATCGCAACACTACAAAAGTAATTGAATGGAGCACATTTAGCGCCCAACTGCGAAGAGAGAGCAAACAAAAGTCAGGGGGGTTCGATAGGCAATGGATTCGAGGGTGCAGGGGCGTCGAAAAGGGGTGCGATTTGGGTGGGAAGCGGATGTCGAACTCACGTCAGCAAGCACGTGATGCGGTGAAACATTTCACATTCTTCGCCTATAATACACACATTTAATTAGTCAGTCAGAAGACCAGCCATAGCATATAGAAAATAACCAATAGAGGAGCTCGGTCACCCACAGAAATAAATAATGCCGAAATGAAAACGAAAATGGCTCTCTGCTGGGAAATTGCCATGTGGCCATGGCTGACTGACTGGCCAACAATAGCCAAAAGTCTATTTGGCGCATACAGTAAACATCGGTTAAGATATGCAATGAAAATAAATGTGCCAGAAAATGCAATTAAACTATACTGAAGGTAGGGATAATGAAGGACTTAAAAGAAAATAAATCATTGAATACTAAAGGTATTAAGGAACGTAATAAATTTAATCTAATGGAAAGAACACCTTTCAACAAAATTTCGTCATGTGAGTCTTTGTACACTGCCTTTATAATTATTTTAGCCATCAAAAACCTGTACTGTTTGCAAATAAATATATTATAACATGTTTAAAAAGTTTCAAACCAAAATTACTAATCAACATACCTATAGAAATGTATTCGTTCAGATATCTAAAAAGTACAATATCAAAGTGACATTTAAATGATTATTACTGCTGCGTAAGCAAAACATGTATGTACATGTGTGTATATTTGTTAAACAATCCCCCATTTTTTGGTACACCAATACCATGAAACCAAGTAAGGAAAATAAATACACTATATAGCGATTTTTGCAACGTCTCGAAATTCCCGCCTTTCGAGAGTGGGTGTCCAGATATCAGACTTCAGCACACACACGTGTTGCTCACCACGGACCCCACAGAACCACTGAGGTACACATATATGTAGATATATACGCACTCTATACTCTTTGCATATATTGCTGCTAAATTTAAGTGGCCCATTTAAATTCGCTGAAAAGGTAGCGGCTAAACGAATTGCAGAGGCTCGGCGTGAAATATTGTTATTGAAATGAGCAGATATATATCTATCATGTAGAGAACGCGACAATTACGACGTGTTAGTGGACACAAGTGTTATGGGAACGCACATAAATCATAGAACGAAGCCAGAACAAACATGAAGAACACACGTAATTTATAGGAGTTAATAGAGATCAGTCTGTTTGGTGAAATGTTGTCGTCAAGTCATTTGGGGACGCACACAAAGCAAAGAAACGTGACAAAAATTAAGGGCTGGCGGGCGAGGTCTGTTAAAGACTTTTGCGGATGCCGGTACACAAGAAAAAAAAATGCATTTCATTAGCAGCGGCTCAGGATACAACAACCGATCCGTGGCTCCACCGGCACTCACCTTCGCTGCCATTCGGCCGGGATGCAGCCTTGGCCAAGCAGCGCGGACAGGATGCGGTTAGGTCGATGAGACTGTGCTCCGGAGCGGCGAAGGGCAGATCTTTGTAAACGAACGTGGTTGGCGTGGGCGGGTCTGTGAGTGTGGGTGGCGGTTTGTTTTGTTTTTCAGTGTGAGTGGGTATTAGATTAGCCCTCGCTATAAATATATATACGATATAGAGTATATCCCCCCCATCCGGTGGCGCTGACTCACGCAGTCCTCCTTGCAAACGACATTATTCATTAAGGCTTTGCAAGGAATTGCGACTAATCGGTGGACATGTGATCAGACTTCGCTACTTTCTATATCTTATCTGATAGCGTTTTCTGCAATTTAGATAGCTTCGAACGGGCCTCCGCCCCCCTCCTCTGCTTGGCAACCCCACTGGCATATCCATTAATAACCATAATTGACAAATTGCTTGCCAAGTTAAAAGGAAGACTGCTAGCGAAATGACCTCGAGTCACGCAATCAGGATATCGAGTGGGAATTCGAATCGTGTCCAAAGGAATTACGTAAGTTTCATTGAAGACGTGACTTTCTTGGGGGCCTTCTGGCTATATACTCAGATATAGACTAGATATACTCGTACTATCTATAGTATGGCGGCTGTCGCACTTGCCTGATTTTAAAAATACATCTAGCGTACGTATAGTATAGGGATTCTTTGTGTTGGTCGCTCGGCAAAGTAAATATTTTGATTTATTTTCGAGAAATCGCTGTGTCGAACTTGAAAGTGCTCGGAAAATGGGATCTTGTACTCGGAAAATGCTTGCAATGTTAGACTCCTCTCCTCTGCTCCGCCAACTAGCAACTTTTCTTTGGTCTCCCGCTCGGTGGCACCGCCATCTCTACTTACCCTCTTTCTCGGTCAGATCGGAGAACTTCACGCCGCCACTAGATATTCGGATGTCGGGGGGAGAAAAAGAGAGAACACACAAGTGGGAATTAGCATCGGTCCAAATAGTTCGATTGGTATTTACTAGGGAGAGTAGTTCAAAGTTCAAGAGCATCGAGAATGGAACTCGAATCGAATTAATTATGTATTAGAATGGTGATCGTCTCAGGTAAATGGACGAGCGGCAGACCAAAGCTACTCGGTCCAATCTCAGGTGGCGATCTCCTGAGCGGCTCCCTTCGCTTTGATCGCCCTTCATTTGCTTTATTTTGGATTTACTTTACTTTTTGAGTGTAAGAGTGTGTGGAGAGAGAATTTACCTGAGTAAAACAGTGGCCGTTTCAGGCACGCGGAATACCTGAAAATATTTAACATGCTCATTGCTTTGTTTCGAGTTTTCGGGGCAATAGAATGGTAATGAGGGGGGAATCTAAAGGTAATCCCGCTACTGCCGTGGCTCCACTTTCTCCTCTACTTACAGAGCTGCCCGCGGTATCGCTAACTTGCCTTAGTCTAGGATCGGCATTCCCATCCCCCAATCCCCATAAAGCCAAACAGATTCCCCACGACACTCACCTTCCATCCAAGGTTCTCGAAGAAGGTGCACAATCGGGACTGTCCCGTCGTCTTGCCGCCGCAGGGCCCTGAAAATGCATAATGTATTCGTCAATTTTATTTGTTTATTTACAAATGGGCTAAGGTTGCAGACTTGTACGCCATATTACTCGAATTATGTGAGAAACGGGAGAAAGGCTTGCTGAAACTTGTGGGAAAGTTCCCGCGATTCCTTTTTATTTTCTTTTTTGTTTCGCAACTCAAATAGTAAGGTAACTGAGTTCAAACCGAACAAAAGTTGTTAAAAACTTTTGTTTATAACAATAATAATTCTGAATAAGTTAGGTATTTTAAGAAACTACACGTTTCTGTTGTTGACATAATTTACACATTTGTAAGGAACTAGAAATAATTTCATTTTAAAATTCACGCGTGCTTACAGTTAACATGTTTAAAAAAAGTTGGGAATTAGCTGGTTCCAGCTAATTAAGTTTGTAAATACAAAGCTAACCAAAAATCAATTCTGAATGACTAATGAATGACTTTCAGCCATTCCTTACTTATTTAAAACAGAGCAAAGTCCAAAATAAAATTAAATCGCAACAAAAAGCTTTATTTGAATAAAATAAGAATTAAGATTAGTCTAAATTTGTAAAAATACTCAAGCATCTGTTGTTATCACTATTTGGTCAAAAATTAAATTAATTCAACGTCAAGTTAAACGTAAAAATAATTTTTTTGGCTGAAGCCAGTTTTTCGTTTTTTTTTATTTTGAATTGTTAGAATAAGTATCGTTGAATTTGAAGTTTACTGTAAGTTAGTTTAGGGCGAAGGCGGGAGCGCAATAAAGCTTTTGTTCGCTCTCTGCGAGTTCGCTCCGTCTTCGCCAACCTTCGGTAAGCTAGGCTTAAGTATGATTGTGGAGAATAGAGCATTCGTTGAAATTGAGTTCGATCGAGCGCACGCATTATTTTTCGTTTCGTTGTCGTTTTGCCAATAAATTTATTAATTAGCCACCCAAGTTTCGGTTTTTAATAATTAGAAAAACGCTTCTAATTTTTCATGGCGCCCCCGGGTGGACTAATTAATTAAAATAAAAGGCAACAAATTTTTTAAAAGTGACAGTGACACAAATAACATAAAAGTGCAAGTGATTTTTTCTTGTGTTTTTTTGTTATACAAAAAATTGCACAAAAATCCAATTTTGCTTGTGATACAAAGTTGCCCGCGACGTGTGTTCAAAAGAAAAACATTTAAGCTCCAGCTATTAATTAATCGTGCCGGTCGCGAAATTAAATACCCTAATTCGACGTTCCTGCCACCGACGAGGGATGCCCTGCGATTGTTCAAGTTGCAAAAGGAAAGTGGCAGCAGGATTGAAAGATCCAAACGAAGAACCAAAGGTATTTGTGCGAAAAATTGAAAGCTGAGTTTTGACAAAAAACTAGAAATATTCGTTAATTGTCTAGTGCTGAAAAATTGCACCTCGCTTTCAATTCTTGGCACATATGTACAAAATAGTAGAGCTAGATTGCATGCAAAATTAAATTTAAACAATTTTAATAATTTCAAAGAGTACCAAATATTACAGCCATAATATATATATAAATACCTAATATATTTACAAGTGCTAAATTTCTGTATACTATTTGAACCGCCTTTGGATGCAACTTTTGTTTAATTGTGTTAAATTATTGCAATCACTGTCGCCCCCCTTGTTTTTAAGTATCGTTAAAACCTCGCAAGTTAATAGTTGGGAAGTTAATCTGAGCCGTTATACACAAATATATAAGCCCTTATATACAAGCAGCTGCAGCGGTAAACTTTTTTCGTTTTCGCTTTCGCTTGGTCGCCGCTAGCAGCGTTGTTGTTGTTGTTGGGTTCTTGTCATTTGGGCGCGCTACAGGTTAACGGACCGGCAAGTGACGCGCTACCCCGCATTCGGTTGGGTATATTGTTTTTCGCCGTCGTTTGCACCCACTATTAATTTTGATACTTCGTGCCTCGATATTCAATTTAAAAATTATTTTCGTTGTTTCTCGCCTCTAAATAATTATTTAATAATAATAATTATTTAATAATTTTTTTCGAACAAATTTAATATTTTATAAATTATTATTTTTTGTGGTTTAATTCGAAAATTAATTTCATTTAATTTTTTCACACTTGGTCCTTTAATAATTTACTTAAATAAATTTGGTTTTTGATAATTTAATTCAAAAATGAGCCAAGAAAAGCCCAAAAGTAACCTGCTTGAAGACTTGAAAGCCAAGTTACAAAATCGAGTAAAAAGCATTCGCCGATTAAGTGATCGACTCGATTCTGGCGCGATCGCGATTAAAGAAGAAGAATTGAAATGTAGATTAGATACGTTAAACGCTGCAATTAATAAGGCAAATCTATTGCAAGAAGAGATAGAAGATATAGATGATGGCGATGAATTTAGAGATGAGTTGGAGGAGTTATCAATTGTTACCAAGGCAAAATTAATGTCGCTTTTGTCGGCCTTGAAGACAGCAAGCGATCCAAAAATTTCCGGATCAGCTTCTGTAGCCCCAACTCGAGCTCGACTTCCGAATTTGGCCTTGCCAAAGTTCAGCGGCAAATATTCGGAGTTTAAAAATTTCATCAGCCTTTTTGAAACTCTCGTTCATCAAGACGACAGCATTCCAGTTATCGAGAAATTTAACCACCTAATTTCGTGTCTCTCCGGTGAAGCCTTAGGGACTATTAAGGCTTATCAAGTCACCGCGAGCAATTATGAGAAGGCTATGGCCAGCCTCAAAAAAGTCTACGATAACGAATGCTTGATTTTTATGAATAATATCTCAACATTGTTCACTCTTCCAAAAATTACGCACCAATCAGCGTCTTCCTTAAGAAGCCTTATCGATACCGTTTCATCAATTTATGGATCGTTGTTATCGATAGGAGATGATACAAAAATATCCAATGCAATGTTGATTTATCTCGTCTTGAACAGAGTAGACCCAGTGACTAAACAAAAATGGGAAGAACAGCTCGATTATGAAACTTTGCCGCTTTGGTCCGATTGTGAGAAGATGTTGAATCGCCGATATCAACATTTATCTGCTGAGGAAACATCAAAACCAAAGCAAGATAAATTAATTCCGAGCAAACATAATCGAAGCTCGTTTTCGTGTTCTTCGACCAACACTAAGTCCGTGCAAAGTTGTAGCTATTGCAATGCTGGAGACCATGTCCTAGCGAACTGCAGTCCGTTTGGTCGGCTGTCAGTAATGCAAAGGTTCGATTTTGTTAAATCTGCGTCTTTGTGCATAAATTGTCTGCGAAAGGGTCATACGGTTTCCAAATGCAAGAGTAGTAAATGTCGAGTTTGTGGTCGCTCGCATCACGTTTTACTGCACAGGTATACCGTCTCCGAGAATAGTTTAGCGTTGCCACCACCCCAAGAGAGTCTGTCTCCCTCTAAAAGTCAGGATCAGCCTTCCACGTCACATGTTATGCATGCGACATCATTGGACAGGGTGATTTTGGCCACGTCGATCGTAAGTGTCCGCACGAAAAGCGGTGAATACATTTTGGCTCGAGCCCTTCTTGACTCTGGGTCTCAAGCCAATTTCGTTACAGAAGACCTTGCTCGCCGCTTACAGATCCGTAAAGAGGAATCGTGTATCAACTTACTTGGTATTGGCGAATCCAATTCTCAAGTTAAGAAAAAGGTACACACAGTGGTGAAGTCGCGAATAAATGGTAGTGAATTTTCGTTCGATTTCTGGATTTTGAAATCGATATCCGGATATCATCCGGACCAGTCTGTGAATATCAGTGACTGGAAAATTCCTAAGAACGTACCATTAGCAGACCCCTATTTCTACAAGCCACAAAGAATAGATATGTTGATAGGAGCAGAATCATTTTTCGAACTTTTAGCTGTTGGTCAAATTAAGCAAGGTCCTGACTATCCAACTCTTCAAAAGACCCTACTTGGATGGGTTGTTTCAGGCAGATACAAGGCGTCTGCCCCAAGAGATGTTGTGAATAGTTATAGTTGTAGTGAAGAGCTATTAGTATCGATTGATAGCACACTACAAAAGTTTTGGTCACTGGAAGAAATGCCATCTATAAAGAAAATTCTATCACCTGAGCATAAGTTGTGTGAAGAACACTATAGAAAGACCACTCAGGTTTTGCCATCAGGTCGGTTTGAAGTTAGATTGCCGTTTAAATCTGATCCCACTGGATTGGGCAACTCATTCGAGGTTGCAAAAAGGAGATTTCTGTCGCTCGAAAGAAGGTTGTCGCGAGATCCTGAATTAAAGAAAATGTATCTCGAGTTCATGGAAGAATACCTCGCGTTAGGTCATATGTCTCCTACAGACAATAGAGTTCCTTTGACTCCACATTATGTTATTCCGCATCAGTGTGTCCTTAGGCCCCAGAGTACGTCTACTAAGTTGCGTGTCGTGTTTGACGCCTCTTGCAAAACGTCATCTCAGGTGTCCCTAAATGATATCTTGATGGTAGGCCCAACTATCCAAGATGAGTTATACTCCACACTGCTCCGCTTCCGGCTGCACAGGTTTGCTCTGACAGCCGATGTTAAAAAAATGTATCGTCAAGTAATGGTAAATGAAGCGGATAGGCCATTTCAACTCATAGTGTGGAGAAGAGACCCCTCAGAATCCTTGAGATTATACCAGCTCAACACCGTAACATATGGAACTGGTCCAGCTCCATATCTAGCGATTCGGTGTTTAAAAAGGTTGAGTGAATCTGCCAAACTTTCATTCCCTAGAGCTGCTGAAGTGATTGGATCCGACTTTTACGTCGATGATATGCTAACTGGTGCTGCATGCGTCGAGGAGCTCAGATCTATTAGGTCTGAAGTGTCTCAGGTTCTTCAAACCGCCGGGTTTGAATTGACAAAGTGGTTTTCGAACTCACCTGAGGTCACCGCATCTGAGAGCACAGTTAAATCCATACCGATCTCGGATTCAGAGTCGACGAAGGCGTTAGGCATATCGTGGTTGCCTAACGAAGATTCTTTCAAGTTTGAAATTGACAATTCCGTCATGGGTCTCAGAGCGACAAAGCGGAACATACTATCGGTGACATCGAAGCTGTTCGACCCCCTCGGCTTGCTTAGTCCTATCGTAATCAGAGGAAAAATCCTATTGCAGGAACTCTGGCTGAACAAGTTGGATTGGGATGAGTCGATTCCTGTGCATTTGGAAACTGCGTGGAATAAGTTGAAAAATACATTGTCTCGTTTGGAAGAGATAACAATTCCGCGGTATGTGCACACCGATCCGATGTCACCGGTTCAATTGCATGCCTTTGCCGACGCATCCATGAGAGCTTATGGAGCTTGCGTCTATATTCGTAGCAAAACTGCAGAAGGTATTAAACTGTCATTACTGACGTCAAAATCTAAAGTAGCGCCGCTCAAGACTAAAACGCTCCCAAGGCTTGAGTTATGTGCCGCTCACCTTCTCGCAGATCTCTGTCACAGAATCAAACCCCTATTAAAGGTCCCTATCGAACGGATAGTCTATTGGTCAGACTCGGAAGTTACGTTGCATTGGATTCGATCCCATCCGTCTTCTTTGTCGATATTCGTCTCGAATAGGGTAGCGGAGATTCAGGAGTGGTCAGGAGAAGCTACGTGGCGGCATGTCCCAACTAACCAGAACCCAGCAGATATTGTATCAAGAGGTTGTGACATAGAGGAAATTAGTGATTCAATCTGGTTTACTGGACCATCCTTTTTGAAGAATGAAGAAGAGACCTGGCCCAAAAATGCACATTTCATTCTTGATGAAAAGGTCCTAATTGAGGAAACAAGGAAGACTGTGGTAACGATGGCCGCCACGGTACGGGAGTCGGAACTGGTAGATGTCATCGAGGGATTTTCGTCACACCTCAAGCTGCTTAGAGTGTTCGGTTACATGTTCCGCTTTATAAGGAAATGCAGAGACAAGAGTATAGTTTTTGAAAAAACTCTGTCTCCGAATGAGTACAACGAAGCCTTCTTAAAAATTGTCGAGACCATCCAGAAACACGAGTATCACGAAGTTCTTGAAAAAGTTCGGAAGAACTCCAGAGTTGGCCCAAGTCTTCAACGATTGAACCCATTCATTCATGAAGACTCAGGCACTTGGTGTAATTTTTCGTTGTTGCGAGTTGGGGGGCGATTAGCAAATGCTCCTATAACGTACGATGCCAAGTTTCCCCTGCTGTTGACAAAATGCTCCCAATTTGTGCAGAGCTATGTCCGGCATTTGCATCTAACCAATTTTCATGTCGGGCCACGAGCACTTGTGAGTCTCCTTCGACAGCGTATTTGGATCGTAAACGCTCAGGAGGTCTGCAGTCAAATAGTTCGATCATGTATTCGCTGCTTTAAATGCAAGCCTCGACTAATGACGCAAATTATGGGAAATTTACCCGCAGATCGTCTCCGTGCTCTCCGCCCATTTAGTATCTGTGGCGTTGATTTTTGTGGCCCCGTCTATACGACATTGAAAATTCGTGGAAGGCCTCCGTATAAGTCCTACATAGCGCTTTTTGTGTGTTTTGCGTCCAAAGCGGTTCATTTAGAAATTGTGTCAGACTTAACCACTAACTCCTTCTTATTGGCTTTCCAAAGGTTCGTTGGGCGCCGAGGATGCCCTCGCACAGTCCACTGCGACAACGCGACGAACTTCGTCGGAGCGAGTCGCCACTTCCAGGGCCTTCGGAAGCGCATCGAGGAGGAAGCAGACGCCATACGCGAATTCGCATCAAGAAGCGGATGCGAGTTTGCGTTCACACCGCCTCGGGCTCCGCACATGGGCGGGCTTTGGGAGGCAGGTGTGAAAACTGCAAAACACCTACTCCTACGGGCGGTGGGCAGCGCGCTCCTAACCGCAGAAGAGCTGGAGACGGTGCTCGTCGGGATCGAGGCGGCGATGAACTCCCGGCCGCTAGGCGCGCTATCCAACGATCCCAGCGACGGAGAAGCGCTAACACCAGGGCACCTGCTGACAGGCGGGCCGCTATTCCCCATCCCAGCACTCCGGACCCCGGACCAGGCGGGTCTCAGTTGCTTGCGGCGATGGCAACTTGTCTCGTCAGCCAGGCAAATGTTCTGGCGGCGATGGTCCCTGGATTATGTGCTGGGCCTGCAAATTCGGGGCAAGTGGCACCAGGAGCAGCCCAACATCCAGGAAGGACAACTGGTCGTCGTCGCCGAGGACAACCTGCCGCCTCAACAATGGCTGATAGGGAGGATCATCGCCACTCACGCAGGAGAGGACGGAATGGTCAGGGTCGTCGAAGTGAGGACCAGCGGAGGAGGAATTTTTAAGCGGGCCATCCATAAATTGGCGCCGCTTCCAATATGTTGAAGCCGGACGGGCCTTCAACGGGGCCGGTGTTGGCTGAAGCCAGTTTTTCGTTTTTTTTTATTTTGAATTGTTAGAATAAGTATCGTTGAATTTGAAGTTTACTGTAAGTTAGTTTAGGGCGAAGGCGGGAGCGCAATAAAGCTTTTGTTCGCTCTCTGCGAGTTCGCTCCGTCTTCGCCAACCTTCGGTAAGCTAGGCTTAAGTATGATTGTGGAGAATAGAGCATTCGTTGAAATTGAGTTCGATCGAGCGCACGCATTATTTTTCGTTTCGTTGTCGTTTTGCCAATAAATTTATTAATTAGCCACCCAAGTTTCGGTTTTTAATAATTAGAAAAACGCTTCTAATTTTTCAGATAAGATACGTAGAACTTCAACTTCAGAATGATTTTCTTCAATTGTTTTTGTTTGGTTCAACAAGGCGGAAACGAATGATTATGACTTGTGTCCCAAATTCCAATAAATCAAGTGCAGTCGAGTTTCTCGTCGATGTGCAGTGCATATCACTCGATTAGGTCCGCGGCCTGACCCTGAAGGCAATTACGCCCATTACTGAATGCATTGCGCAGCGATCTGGGGAAATCGATTTCGAATGCACTCCCGAAGAAGCGGACCCGTCAATAAAATAAAGCCCCCGCTAACCGATAGGAAATGGGTCTTTGCAGGGACTTAAGGGGATTTACGGACGAGTGCCACACGTGGCGATGGGCCGTGTCTTTTATCAGCTTCTTCCTGAAAATATTGGCATTCTGGACAGAGGAAGCCCGACCCGAAAGCGATAATACGTGGGCACAAGTATGTGTGGAGAGATAGGCCCGCCAATACATCAATGCTTTTTGTGGGGCTTCTAATCACAGCCATAACTTGGGCCAAATTAAATGATTAGACCACGCGCCCAACCACTGCTCATATGATCTTCAGGCAAACAGGTTTTATGGCTCTGTTTTTACATATGAATGGAAACAGTGTGGGGTCTTTGAAGCGCCGATGGACAATAAAAAGCCGGTAGCTGTCTGAATTCAAAATAAGTTTCGTTGGGAAAGTCCCGGGATGCTGCGCGCAGGACACAATCTCTACCCATTCGTGGAACTCGCGACCTTGACACAAATCGTAAACAAATCGCGCAATCGGGTGGTTGTTGGGCCACGAGGATACGAGGATACGAGGCCACTTGTAACAGATACACAGAAATCAACCCAACCAGGTAGATTTTTGTGGGGAAGCAAAAAAAAAACTCACCGCCAGTTAGGACAATTTTGTAGACTCGTTTATCTTTCGGCGACACCGAGCCCATCCTGTTGAGCTTCAAGCTGGGCATGGCGCCTGGTTTCGGTGAGGTGGACTTCCTGATCTCGACCTGCTGCTGCTGCTGCTCTGGTTCGTCCTTCTGCTGCTCCTGACCATTACTGCTGGCCAAAACCGACTGCTGTCCGTTGCTGAGGAGGGTGGCCATGATGCCTTCGTCTTCGGGAATTTTTCACTTTTTTGTTTTCGTTGAGAGGAGCCGATTGGCACGCGGAAAACTCTTCTACGCGTGCTGCACGTGCCTTTTTAAGGTTATGCCTGGGGAAATCGCAGTCCTGCGGTTCCCGGGGGTTTGCTGGTGTTCAGGTGTCCTGGCTTCCGTTATCCTGGGAGTCCCTTTGTTCCGGGTCTTGCGCTCTGCTATTCAAAAGCTGCACTGGCGCCTTGAAATCATTCTCAAAAAGAGGATTGCGCGGGATTCTCTCAAAAGGCCGACGGAGGAACTCTAGAATTTGACCAACGAGTCGGCAGCGTTAGACGCTACTGTTCGATTCCGTACCACATCCGATTATTTGGGCGATATCAAAGTTTATGCGATTTGTGGTGGTATTGCATTTTTACGAGTTGACACCGCATCCGTTTATTACACAAGAAAAGAACGAATTTGTATGAAAAATGAGTGCGGACTGCGGTCGGTCTTATACTTTGGTTGGCCTGCAGTGTGGCCGGGCTTTTTGGGGGTGAATTAGCCGAAAGTTATCGGGGCAGTGAAGCAGCGCAGCATACTTTGGGGATTGGCGAGAAATGGCTACACTTCTATCAACAAGCTAAAAGCTAGTTTTGTTTATCGTCTCTTGATTTTAAATAGAGGAAATATAAAAAAAAATGTTAAACAGCTCAAATCTTTCAGTTTTCTTTAAAATTAAAACTAAAGCTGACTGAATTAAATCCATCTTTTTTAAAACTTTTAAGCTTGGAATAGAATATTAGTTTAATAACATTATCTATTTAAAATAATCCAAACAACGAATTTGTTTGTTTTTTTTTTAACTATTATCATATTTAAATACAATTCTTTAACCTACCCAACTAAGATCTCTTAAAATAAGTAATATAAAAACAAAAAATTAGTTCATAAACATCATCGATTCTCAAGCTCAATCCGTTTTTTATCGATACTAAAACGTTGATACAATCACAAACATAGGTCTTACATCCCTAGCTTACAACATATTGATGAATTTACAGTTAATTTACACTACAAACTTAAATTTTATTGCTTAGAGTGACCAACTCAACAATATCCCTATAAACCAAAACTAAATTCCGTATTTTTGGTATTTTTGCAAAAGCAAGTTATTATTTTCATAAAAATAACGAACGTAGATTGACGCAGGACGGTGCGCGGATGTCTCGAGTGCAATAATAAAACAATCGCCAACGTGCCACAACTAGTGAAATTGCATTAGACAAGGAAAATCGAAAAATAAACAAAGAAAACGCAGTTAATAGCGACGAACGGGCAAATATTTTCACACACACACCACGTAACGTAACACATGTGCGTGCGTGTATGCGTGAGTGCGAGCGAGAGAGCGCGAGTGTCAAAATGACAGCAGTGGCAACTAAAACAACAACAATAGCAGCAGCAAAAACCAAATCAAAAACAACAAAAACAGCGTAGGCAGCCAGCTGTGCGAGGTCGCTTGACCCTCCCCCTTGAAAATTTAACAAACCAATATAAAAGTTGACAAAATTTTTGGTTCACTGACAAGGATCAAAAGTTGTTGTAACATTAAAACCTCTCACTCAAATCAAACACACCGAGCGTGTTATGAACATACTAAAACCAGCCAAGCTCAAGTGCATCGTGTTTAACCAACTGCGTCACACTTGGACGTTTCTTTTGTTTGTGTGTGATTTGCTGTTGAAGGTTTACGAAAAGGCTCATCCATCTGACCACCAAGAGTTGGCCAATTACATTAATAATAACAACAACAACGATCTAATAATGGAACAGGACATGCCGGAAGAGGATGTGGCTCATCCGGAGGAGGAGCCCCAGCAGCAGCAGCAGCAGCCGCATAATCGGGAGGATTTTTTGGCCGGTTACGAGGTAATTCAGGGTCCCGGAGAGCCCATGGACGCAGCCAGCGATTTGGACGAGGAGGAAGAGGAGGACGACGACGATGACGATGACGTGGATGTGGATTATGGCGATACCGATTCGGAGTCGGATTTCGAACTGTACTCCGATGAGTCTACTAGTTCTAGTGATGAACTAGAGAATAGCAAGGAGCTGTCGAAGAGTGTGTTTGATGTCTTCCTTTCGCCGGAGCAGCAGCAGAAGTTAAGGGAAAGCTATGCTCGACCGCTGTACACCTTCCGACCGTTGCAATTGGTAAAGTGCCAGTACCGGGAAAAACACCTCCCCGGCGGATTTCCGTTGGCGCGCAGTGGCCACCGCATAATCGCCTCCAATTCCCACCTGTACTCGTTGGGTGGCTATAATCCGAGGAGCGCCCTGGCTGCCTCGCGTCGTGGACACTGTCTGCTTTTCCAGGAGCTGTGGAGCTACAACTTTGCCACGAGGACCTGGAGACTGGAGCTGAACGCGGACAATGCCAGCAACATGCCCGTGGAGCTGGCCTCCAATGCGTTGACCATTCACAATAACGTGTTGATTGTAAGTATCTATTCGGATGCTATCTAAATCTCTATTGCAAGGGGCGGGGATCAGGGGCGGTTAAGCAGACGAAAATAGATGGGTTCGATTTGTCTATCTCTCTCGCTGGGTGTGTTGGTTAACACAGAGAAAAAAGTAGATCACTTCAGGAAGTAGAATTTAATTCCAAATTGGCGTTCTTTTAAAGAATATAAACAAGAAAAAACAACACGTGTGTTGTGTGCTAATTGTGTTTATAACAAGAAAATGTCTTAAAATGAAATCGTTATCAGCAGTTTTGAACTGCGAATACAAAATGTAGACCGCAAAAAGATTGTGATATAATAAAAGTCTTTAATGAGGAAAACATATATGCATATATGTATATATTCATGAAATATAAAAATAAATTGTATTGTATTTATAATAAGTTAGTTCTGGTTGAGCCTTTTACAAAGATTTCTCACATTTCTGCTTATGGGGATTGTGTATAAATATCAGAGTTTAAGCTTAGACTGCACTTTATTATTAATCCTATTAGAAATGATAAAATTTCTTTCCGTGCAGGCTAGCAAAACCATCAATTGCAATAAAATAAAACTTGTTTGTGCTCAAGTAGAAAACACAATTGAACGGTGAAATGAGCGGAGAAATCACACACAGCTGATCGCTGTGATCTGTGAGAGACAGAGAGAGAGAGAGAGAGTGAAAAGCGTAGAGAGAGAGGTTTATTCTGGGCAATGAAAACCGCCAGGGCCAATGCCACGCCCAGTTCCGCGCCTCCACTCCTCCGCCTTTGGCTTTTGTTTATGCATTCTAAACACCCAAAATGTCAACCCAAACAGCTGCCCATGGCCATTGCCGTTTGCCTCTCACTCGGGGCCACCACCTCCTCCTCCGCCTCCGCCTCGATTGCCCATTTCCTCCACCCCCTTCTCCTTGCCTCTGCGCATGCCAGGCAACCCTCTTTTCTGCTTTGGTTACTACGCAGTTGTTGTTTATGCTGCTGCCGCATGCAACAACTTGTTTTCCAGCTTTCCCCACCTCGCGCGCTGCTGGAAAAACTCAAAACATTGTATTTACCATTTTTACCCACCCAGCAGCTGAGTGCGCGCGCTTTTTTTCGGGAGGAAACTAACCGAAAACGAAAAACCGAAAGCAAAACCAAACGGGAGCTGTTGGCATTTTATGCTGGCAGCAATGCCCCTTCCCTTGCATTCCACAATTAGCTATAATTTGATGACGAATCATGCCCCGATACATACACAAAAACACACTGGAGACACATGTTTCCGCTTATCTGGGCTGCAGCCTGCAGCTAAACCCCCCACTGCTCCTATTTTATTTTTTCTCTGATTTTTCCTCATCTTTGTTTGCCTCCTCCACTGGCAGGCGATGATAAGCTGCTGCAGCAGCTCAAGTATCTGCTAATTGAATGCACTGGCAGCAATGCCAGGAGCGTGGATGCCACCCGCTTAACTCTGTACCTTTTATATATGTACATTTTCGAGTATCTTATTGGGATTCATCTTTAAAGTCTAGAAAACCGAATAATAATAATAAGACAGAAAGATAATGGAAGGTTTAAAAGAGCAATACCCTTGGGTTTAAAATGTTCACTAAATGCATTTTACTTACAATTATTAATTTCTCCTTTCTTTTTGCAGAGTCATGGTGGCACGGGCTATCCCTTCGGAGAGTCCTGCTCCAACGACTGCTACGTTTACCGCACGGCCAGCGCTGGCGCGACACCGGGTGTGGAGCGACTAAAGGTGACTGGCGATCTGCCGACGGCTCAGTACGGACCGGGCATAGTGATCCACAAGCACTTCCTGTACACAATCGGCGGCACGACGGGCTTTGACTACACCTGTGATGTGTATCGCTTGGATTTGCGCACCCGGACCTGGGAGAATGTGTATATAAGCCGTCCGGAGATGCGCGACGATCCGGAGGGTCGCTATCGCCACGAGGTCGTCTACGATGGCAAGCACATCTTCGTGCTGGGCGGCGGCACATCGCACTCGGTCTACGATCTGCAACGCATTCCGGCCTACAACTTGGAAGCGAACTGCTGGGACTATTTCGATACCTATCCCGATCGCAATACCGCGGACTTGGAAGACGGCAACAGAGGCTATCCGAAGCCGCGCAAGTGCTTCTCCTGTGTGCAACATCAGTCCTCCAACGGAGACATCGAGGCCTTTATTACGGGCGGGCTGCAGGTGAGATCAATTTGTGAAGTTTTTGAGTTGCCAAGATTGCTAAATAGATAGCGTTAAACTAAACTTAATCGAAAACAAATTCAAAAACAGTTTCTTACACATAAAACATCTCCTTTTGCAGGGCGATGTCTCAACGTATTTTTCGGACATTTGGAAGCTTAATCTTCGCACCAAGCAGTGGTTCCACATCAAGACCGCCACCCTGCCCCGCCCACTGTACTTCCATTCGGCGGCCCACTCGGATAACGGATGCATGTACGTGTTCGGAGGCATCGAGTACAATGAAAAGCAGATGCGCCGTCGCAACGACCTGTACAAGATGTGGATGACGGTGCCCAAGCTGAGCGAGATGTGTTGGGACGCCATCACCTACTACAACGACAATTTGGACGTGTACGACCGAAAGACGCTATTGGGAGCTGGGATACCAAAACGCTTCGCAGAACGCGTGCGAACGTTTGACCTAAACAAGCCGGACCCGTCCATGATTTTCTCGCTTTACTCCAATCCAAAACGTGCCCGCTCCACCACACAATAGGCAGTCCGAACCCCTGAAAAAATAAAGCGAATCCGCGGATGGGAGCGGTGACTCCTCGTCCCGGTAAAGTTTTAGTTGCAGAACTTTACGTTACTATTGTTTAAAAGTTTTGTTTCACATTGAGCGCGCGCTGTGATCGAATCGAAGGACATTTATAGTTGTACACATATGTATTTTGATACTCGAAAGGAGGAGAAAGGAGAGGCGGACATGTTTAGCATGTAAATAAGATTGTAATTAAGTTTAGCTAGCGGAACAACAGCCAGAGACAGGCCATGCGTATCTATTCTAAACTTCAGCTAACAGATCAGCCAGCGCACCCAAGCCAGAGTATCCAAATCCAGCAGCAGTAGAGCCCCACACACAGTATCTCACCAGGTCCCCCTCGAACTTACTCGCTATTTAACACGGCCCTAATATATTGTTCACCCCTCTTTAAACCTAAACCCCACACCCCAACCCACTTTGCACACAATCGAACCAATATTGAAGGCTACACCAAACAATGTCATATAGAGGGGGCAACCCCGATGTATTTTTGTCAAAGTGTACATAATTCTTAGCGGTAGTAATATTTAATTAAAATAAGACTCCATCATTATTGCGATATCATGTACCAATGCAGTGCGTAAGGTACTGCCCGCCCCCCGCGGCGAACGTCGGTTTGCTCGGTTTATATATTACCCAAGACTAAATTTGGTTGAATCTAAGTTAATAAATACATTTTTAATGCGACACCATCGCCGTTTCATTCGTCGTACCGTACCATTCGCATCCTGGCACAGATTATCCACGGCGTAGTTGCCAATGACCCAGTTTCTTGCTTCCCCAGCCTATTAGACCCTGTCCGTGGTTCGGAATTTTTGGAAAGGATGGCGGAGGGGAAGGCGCTGAGTCATGCGCAATTTGCAGTCCAAAATGCACCCTGCTGGCCAAGATTTTCGGCAAACTGCGTAGCAAACACCAAACACCGAACACCGGAGTACAGGTATTCGAGCGATTAAGCGTTTCCAATTTTGGTGGTTGAAAAATAGAAAGACTGTTGCTCTGACCCCGTGGAGCGTTGATGCATCGCAATAAAGACTTGAAAGAGCGAGGGAGAGTGCAGTTTTTGCTGCGTATTAATTCCGTGACCTGGTTTTCTCATGACGTCACCAAATACGCCTTCTGATTCTCGTTATGCGGAAGATATGGGTAAAACATTGATAACTCTATTGCCATTTCAGCAAGTTATACTGGCTCTCTAAAAAATAATAGATAACGTAACTCTTGAAACATCCTTACTAAACAATTTAAAAGTTTAAGTACATTTCCAAACTTTTTTAGTAAAAAAGTTCAAAACTTTTTAGTAAGTTTATACAATTTTTTTAAACTCCTAGTAAGCCTGATAACGCAGCTTGGATTTCACTTATTATAAGTTCATGTTTTATTACCTTTTTATACCCTGATTGCTATTATTTAAATTAACCAACTGATTTTAAAAATTAAAAACTTGTTTTTTGCATACTCCATTTAGTAAATAATGGTTTTTTATTTTAAGAAATGTTTTTTTAAATGTTTTCGAAAGCAATGCCATAGAAAAATACAAGAAACAAACACGTTTGGTTGTGCTTGTAACAATTTTTTGTATTTGTATAATTTTGTATAATAATATAAAAATTAAGCGTTATGTTTAGACTATTAAGCTGAATATTTATATTCTTATTAGAAAAAAAATTTATCAAAATAGCATGCGTTTATTTCCTGTTAGGATTCGAATCTATAGTATAGATGGCGCCACTGAATTGCTATTCACCACAAAACGCGCTCATCTTATCAGCTGAATTTGTTTGCCATTCGGAATGAAGTGTTTGTGAAGGCGTAGTTATATTGTTGTTTTCCTTTTTTTACACATTAAAAACCAAATAAAATGCTTAAACCCAAAGCCCTGACGCAGGTCCTCAGCCAGGCCAACACGGGCGGAGTGGAGAACACCCTGTAAGGCATCCAATTACCCCGTTTACGCTCTAAATTATAAGGTTTCCCTATTCTTACAGATTGCTCAGTCAGGAGGGAGCTCTTTTGGCGTATTCGGGATATGGCGATAAGGATGCCAGGATTACGGCGGCCATTGCCAGCAATATATGGGCTGCCTACGAAAAGCACGGTAGAAATGCCTTCCGCGAGGATCGTCTTACTTTTGTGCTGATCGATTGCGAAAACGGACATGTTGCCATTACACAGGTTTAAAAGAATAATCCTTTAAGGATTCAACACAGATCTCATAACCTCCATTATATATTTCAGGTTGCCAGTGTCCTATTGTGTCTGTATGCCAAGCAAACTGTAGGATTGGGTCTTCTTAAGCAGAAAGCCATGTCGTTGGCCTCCTATTTGGAGCGACCACTTAAGCAGATCTCGGCCTCGTAAAGATAACACCAAGATAAACCACATTGCGAACTGAATTCGTTTATAAGTGTATGCATTAATATGAATTAAAATTGTTTATAGTGTAAAAAAAGAGCGTTTTATCCTTTGGCTAATCTTAAGTTTAAAGTTTCTTTTCAAGAAAATATGAAAATGTGTAAGCTTGTATGTATGTATCCATATAGTTAGGAGTTTCAAATAAATGTTGGTCTCATAAAGGTTTAGGCAATAGATTTATGTTTGTGTTGGCCTTTTGGATAGTGGGTCAGATTTATTTTTCTGCAAGCTTTGTTCAAGAAAACATACAATCAGTTTGATATATTGAATAAGAAAATTAGATGGACTTAAAAACTAGTTGTGTGGACTCTGCATTTGCTTATTCGATAGCGTACAACTTCAGGGTGCGATCCATGCTGGTGGAGGCGAGATATTGAGCGTGCTTTCCGAATCTCACGCCCGTTGCCAGGGCCGTGTGGTCGTTGAATACCTTCAGATCCTGCCACTGTTTGCACAGGTAAACCCTGGAAATAAATCGAAGAAACCGTGAGACATAAAGTTGTACCTTGGCAACGGAGTAAACAAGTTCAGTGAGGGAATCTTACTTTCACAAAATTAATCTGCAATGCGGAAATTTAAGAGAAAAGTTTATCGCGAATATGAAAGTAAGGATTTGGCAATTATCTATATTTCATTGATGTTTCAATGTTCTTTTTAAGATTTTGTGCGACCTAAAACCCATGTGGAGCCGGAGCCACCAAAGCCTATTAATTTATCGATTGAGGATTTCAATGCGGTACGATAGAAACCTTTTAATTGTTTTACTTTACATTAAAGAGTTACTTTATAGCGCGGAGAAATCGCCAATCCCCGTGCTCCTTGTGTAGTTACTACCATCGATCCCGACTACATTAAAGATGCAAGCTTGCAGCGCTTGGCTAGAAAGTTTCGTATGAAAACGTAAGATATCGAGCAAACCAACTGCGGGTGTAACTGATTCCCTCTTTCAGAGATATCCTACTCCTTAGGGAAATTACACGCAATCGGTTTATGTACTATGCCACGCAAGAACTGTTCCTGGACCGAAAAAGAGAAAAGGAGTACCAAGACAATCTATATGCAAAGGCTGAGGAGTTCCACAAGTTTGCCGAGGATTCTTTGAAGAAAATGGAGGCGGATGAGTTCAAGAAAATGTTGGAGGCCCAAGAGAAGTTGAAGAAACTGAAAGAAAGCAAACTGGCCGAGGAGCTCAACGAGGTGAAGCTGGAGCACCAGCGGGTTCTAATGGAAGTGCAGGAAGTCTATGGTCGCTTTCAGTATCTCCTCAAGCTGATCAGCTACTTTGACGACACAGTGGAGGAGGAGGAAACCGATGGGGATGATGACAACAATAAGTTGGTCCTGCCGAAGGAGATTATTGCCATGGAGATCACCGAACGGAATCCAGCAGGACTGGAGCAAGTGCGCCAAGTTCAGAACTACATGGAAAAGATAGTGCGTCCATATTTGGCCAAGAGGCATCACTTAAATGCTGAGATCTGGATTCGCGGCTACGAGAGGAACCGCTTGAAGGTTTCCAACTACAATAGGCGATTCACGCAGCTTGCACTTTTGAATCACATTGTGGGCATCCTTCATGACAAGTCTCAAAAGACTTACGAGCGTCAGGTGAAAGCCAATGTGTTCCTCAAGGATCCGGAGTTCCTGCAAAAGCGGGTGTCAGGACTCCAGGAACGGGCAAAGGGTTTACTGAATGACTACGAACAAAGATACTGCAAGGAGTAAGTCTTTATGGTTCTTATGTTGGTTAACGATTTGTAACTATTTTGATTGTTTTTTTCGGCAGTAAGTTAAACATCAAACTTAACAGCATTATCCCAGTGATTCTGAAGCAAATCCAAAACAAAGTTCAGCCGGAGCAGAAGAAGGAGGTGGTGGAGGCACCACCTAAGCCGCCGCCACAAAAATCAGCTAAGCAGTGGCGCACCTTAGAAAATATGCAACCCCCACCGCCGCCACCGAAGTCGACATACGAAGACGAACAGGACACCACTCTGGCCAAAGTGGAGAAAATCCAAGCACATGTTCTGGTAAAACTTTGTGATTTGCTTAAGTTAGTCAAATACCTATTAGCGATATCTTTCATTTAGGAACTCTTGGCCAAGCTAGACCACATAGAACCCAACAAGCTGCGAAGCGTCGAGCAACAAGTTCGCCGTCGCATGGCAGCCGAGAAAGATATGTCTCGCCGGGCTTTGGTGAAACAAAACCGACTGCACAACTGGATGGCTCATTTCAAGAAGCACCATAACCTGCAGGTGGAGCAGCGATGGAAAAACAAGGTCTGAACTGGTCAACCATATTACCAACCAACAACCAAATCAGTGAATAAAAGTATGATCAAGACATAAATAAGAGTTATTTTAAGCAACGAAAGCACTTCACTCACCTAACATCGCTGCCGGCGATCGCCAGGTATGTTCCGCTCTGGTCGAAGCACAGATCCTTCACCTCGTATCCATCGTCCAGCTGAATCGTCTTGAAGTTCTTCAGCTTGCGCAGATCCCACAGCTTGACACAGGCGTCATCTGCGGCGGTGGCCAGGTAGTAACCGTTCTCCGAGAAGGAAATGGCCGAAATGGGACCGGTGTGGCCGGGGAAGTTGGCCACATTGCTCTGCTCCTTCAGATCCCAGATCTTGACCTGCGAGTCCACAGTGCCCGTGCCAAAGATCAGACCATCGGGATGGAATTGTGCCGTCGTGAGGCCAACTTCGGCGGTGTCTATAACCTTGGTGAGCAGGCGGCCGGTTCGGATGTCGGAGAATGCCCAATGTTTGTCGGACGAGGTGGACAGCAAGTAGTCGCCAGTGGGGTGCAGCGACAGTCCCGTCACGGGACCCTCGTGGCAGCGCAGGAGCAACTGCGTCTGCGAAGTGGGCACGTGCCAGATGCGGATGTTCATGTCGGGCGAACCGGTGATGACGGTATCCTCGTTCGGGTGATAGATGACTTTGGTTATCTTCTTGGTGTGGCCCTTCAGAATGGCCACCACCTGCTCGGTGTCCTTGTTGAATACGGTGGCGCTCTTGTCGTTGCCTCCAGTCAGAATCTTGCTGTGATCCGCACTGTTGATGTCCAGGGCGAGGATACCGGGCACCGAGGCCGAATGCAGGCCGGGATGGGAGGCGACGGTGAGGAAGCTCTTCACCTGGTCCGGCGTCACCAAATCCTCGGGCACCGTGCGACCGCGCTTCTTGCGCTCCTGCGTGAGCACCGTGGCCTTATCCTGCAGCTTCTGTATAACCTCGGCGCTCATGCCCGCCTGTTCCATGGGATGGGCAGCAGCGCCTCCAGCTTCGGCGGCCAGGGCAGGCTGGGGAATCGCCGTGGGGGCGCTGATAATGCCCGCCTGGGGTTTCAACGTGGCCAGAGCCTCGCGAGCGGCGGCCACCTCCTTGTTGAGCCGGGCAATCACACGGCAAGCGGCATCGTGTTGATACAGGGCGTGGGACAACTCTTGCCGGGTCGTCTGCAACTGCTGGCGTTGTGTGAACGAGTGGATCATCAGGGCGTCCCATTCATCCTGCATCGTTTTCAAAGTTGCCGGTATGCTGGTGGCACTCGGTGGCTTTGGCTTCACCACAGCCGGTGTTTTGATCTCTATCAACTCTTCCGCTTTTAGTTCCTTGCCGCTGATGGGATCGCAACCGTTCTCCATCAAATACTTCTCAATAACCCGCTTTTCGAAGACGGCTCCTGAATGCGGCGAAACCACAGGCGTCTCGGGGACTTCGTTTGTCACTGAAAGCGATTGTGGTGTTTGTTATGTGTTACTAACTTATGAAAATATATCTATGTACTCACGTGCGCAAACTAAAGCCATCGCTGTTTGTGTTTATGTCGCTTTTCGCGTAGTCTGCTTAGTAAATTAAATGTTTTACACGTTTTTCCCGATCCAAGCGCAATTTTGTCGGCAAAGCCGCTTCTTGTTATTATGACAGTCACACTGCAACGCGGGAATTATAGAAAACATGGTTGCCAGTTGGGGGTGACTTGGCTAGAATTTTGAAAAAGGTTTCCCTGCAGCATAATATCTTTGGCGCTTTAATTAAAAAAAGAAAATAATGATAGCTGCAAAACATTTACTTAACTAATTAAATTTAAAATTTTTAGTTGAGTAAATATTTTACAAGAAAATAGCCATGTAGAGACCAAATGTAAAAAACAACCGCAGCCATCAGCTGCTTTTTTTTAAAGAGATGACAACCCTAGCACGTTGCGCTGTTTCTGTTATTTAATTTTCGACTAAGCTTAAGAACACGATTACTGCCAATAATTGTAACAAATAAAATGCTGAAAACTATAGCACGATGGCGCCTGGGCAGTCAACTGCTGAAAGGATGCACAACATCAGTGCGACACGCAGCGGAATCCTCAAGTGGCGGAAATCCATTTGCCGGTTCCGAAGAAACCCCAAATAAGTTTGTAAATCCATTTTCACAGCCAACTTCAGTAGTTTCTACCGAGCGGATATCGGAGACCAAAGAGGATCGTGACAAACGGCTGAAGGTGTTGCAGCTGGAGGCGGACATTGCCCACCAGGAGGGTCGCCGGGTGCCGGCGTTTGAGTTCTTCAAGGATCACCACTGGGAACACGTGCTCACTCTGCCCACAAAATCCGCTCGGATCAAGTACTATGCCTACCTTTGGCAGATCGAGATGCGGAAGGAGTCGGAGCAGAAAAAGAAGGCCCAGCGGGCAGAGGACACCGAACGGAGGATAGCCGAGATGCGGAAGGAGCGCGAGGAGAACACGCACATCATTTATGGTCTGGGCCACACCTCCATGTTCCTGCGCATCTACGATTCCACCATTAATCACTGGCAGAACAACCGGCTAACACGCGCCATGCAGTTTGCACCCAAAATAGTGTTGGATTGCTCCTACGATGAGCACATGAACAACCGAGAGGCTTCCTACGCCGCCAAGCAACTGATGCTCTGCTTCGCGGAGAACCGGCTGAACGATGAGCCCTTCGACCTGCATTACTGCAATGCCCAGATGGACGGTCGGTGCATGCAGAGCCTCAAGCGCTACATCCCCACCATGCTGAATCCAGAGTTCCCGATGAACGTGCATCCCCAGTGCTTTACAGAGCTGTTTCCCAAGAAGAATCTTGTCTACCTAACGCCCCACTGCCGCGAGGATCTGGTCAGCTACAACCCGGACGATGTTTACGTGGTGGGTGCCATGGTGGACACCATGAACAACGAACCTCTGTCGCTGGCCAAGGCAAAGCGATTGGGTCTGCGGATGGCGAAACTGCCGCTGGATCGCTACTTGCAATGGGGATCGGGCTCAGGGAAATCCCTCACCCTAAACCAGATGATCAACATTATGCTGGACCTGAAGAAAACCGGCAATTGGGATGCAGCTCTAAAGCACGTACCCAGGCGAAAGGTCGTCGAAAATGAGTTCCAACATCGAAGGGAAAAGGATAGCTGGGGAACGGGAACGCGGGCTAGGAAGCTCAATATGCGAATTGATCATCTGCTGGACTATGAGGATGATCGCCGTCGAGCAACTTCGTTTGCTACTCCCCAAAAAGTCAGGCAGCGAAGGGAGGGAATGGAGTTCCAGCTGGACACCTGGGCCACGGGGAAGCAAAAGAAAAAGCAAAACAGAAATTAAAGTTACCTGTTGTATTCGTTGAATTTTTCTTTTATTTTACTTCAGTTCGTATTCCATATTAATTACAGAGTGGTTTTCTTTGGCTGGAGCGGACCTTCTTCCTCTACTTCCTTTTTAATTGCTGCCACGACGGATGGAATCTCTTCTATTACAAGACCAGGGCTATTTTCAGAAGTATTGTATTCTTTTTCAAGAGGATCCCCACTATCTTCATTGTATTCTTTTTCAAGAATCTTATCTTCATCGCATTCAGTTGCTGAAACACTATCCGGCTCAACTTCTGGCTCAACTTCCGGCTCTTCCTCCGGTTCATCTTTATCAGTCTTTTTGTATTTAAGCCACATATTCTTGGCATTGATTGCTTGGTAGTTGATAGCTGCCTTAAGGCCCACCCGCTTCATTAGCTCCTTGGCTTTGGCTTCGAACTCCTTCACAGGTTCCTTGCGCTCCACGGTCATAAGTTTGGTTTCAAGTATGAAAAGAGCCTGCGGACGCAAAGCTTGGAAGAATTCCTTGCCCAGGAAATTGTAATAGTTGTAGGCCACAAAGGCGACATCGAACATGTTGTTCCAGCGACTTGCGCCCTGCTGCAGTTGCACCATATCCAATGGCGACACATAGTGCACTGTTACCCCAGGGATCTTAATCCATGGTTTATCGTAGGATGCCTGACCCGCAGCATCCACTTCCTGGTGGTTGAGCAAAGGAGTCATCAGCAGTTGAACGGATCCGTATCTTCGAGAGCGAGTGGGATCGTGCTCATAAGGAGTCTGGGTCTGCAGCTCGTGGAAAAGTTCCAGAAGATTGCGCTCTGTTATATCGGTGGCCCGATAATCGTTATCCCCGTGCACAGAGTGGTGCATCCGCTCCTCGACGGTGCGCAATCCAAACCCACAAAAGGGTCCTGTTTGGATATCCCCCACATACCCGCGATGAATGAAGGTGCGTCCGTTTCGTATCAAACCAGCTGCCAGCGTTTTGTTCGGTTTGCAGTGTTCGTATTCGGGAAAAACGAAAGCCACTCCGGATTCTCGCCAGTAGCGGTACTCCTGCGAGCAAATTTGCTGTCCTCCGCGATCCTTCAGAGTCATGCTCAAATCCCAATCGAAGGCTCCATTACGATGATCGTACCGGGTGCCCAGGAGAGCCCTCAATCGCTTCTCCCAGTAGGAGGTAATCTCGAAGACATTCCAGGGATGCGGCTGCCAGAAACTGAAGGACATCTCCAAACCATCGCGCTCCTTGTACTTCAGACCTTCAATATTTATCATGGGAGCCAGTTGCTCTAGCTTTTCCTCATCGGTGACTATTTGAAGCAAAGCGCGTCCTTTGGCAGCCATGTAGTGATGGGAGCTGGGACGGATCACTGCATTTCCGTAGAGATCCATGAACAGATGCACCTTGCAAACCAGACTAAACGACTCCGGATCCTCCAGAGCCACTCCCAAAAGCAGCAAATGTCTGGCTGCAATCTCAGCACAACCTTCCAGAACATAAATGTTTAGTTTCGGTTTGATGCGATGGGTGTATCTCTTGGCCAGAGTTTTGATCACGTGACGCGGATCAGCTCCACCGCAAATGAGGATGTTAAGGCTGTTTAGAGAGCCATCTCCACCTGCTCCCTCCTCTTGGGAAGTTCCATCCCCAGGCAGCGGATCATCGTTGATCTTAAAGGCCTTCAAGTACTCATCGTACAAATCCAACGCCGAGCTGATTCCCCACAACATCTTGACCCAATTCGATTTCAATTTTTAACGAACTTAGATCCGCTGAGACTTATTCGGTTATACTGCTGCTCTGTTTATGTTTCCACTTGATTGATGGCTGTTGCCAGGACTACTTGTTGTCGCCGTTGTCCCGGCAACTTCTCCTCCTGCTGCAACCAGCAAGAGCTGGTTCCTCATTTGCGTGCATCCGTTGCGGGGATTTGGGAGCTGTGGCAATCATAACGGAAATTGCTTTTCGATATCAGTGGCCTGCAGCGGGAGCTGGACAAATGGCTCGTCCTGGAGGGATGTGGCGCCACATATAGACTATCAAGGGGCGAGGTGAATGGGAAGTGGCGCATAATGCATTATTCAGTCCTGGCTGTTTGCTTTCAGCTGATTGGCAAGGCAAGCAGCACAGCAGCCAATCCATCGGGGAGCGCTCTCGGATTCATAATTGTACAATTTTCTAAAGAAAGTGGGAGGTCTCGGTGGGGTTCGCTGGAGGAAATTAATGCAGATGTGATGTGATTATGGAAATATCAAAATGAAGACCGAAGGCCTGAATATTGTTATAATTAATTGTTTACTGTCTATGCTTAGGAAATAAATTTGTATTATTTATAATATGTAAATAAATATAATATATGTACTTTAAACTAGTTATTATAAACAAATGGTAAAAATCTTTATGACTAATTGGGGTTTCGTTTAATGATATAAATAATAAATAACATCATATAGTTAATCTCTTTATATTTTTTAAAATCTTCAAACATGTTTTAATATTAAAAAACAATTTTAAACTAGCCCCGCTTTCATTAAATTTAAAGCCGCATTTTGGTAATTTTCTTGTTTCTCCTTTTCAAACTCCCTAAACGCAAATAAATTTCCAAAGCGAGATAAGGGATAATGCGTGTAGTTTTTTGGGGGTTCCTTTTTTCCATTGTTTGCCTGCGGAAAAATCGTTGGTGGACGAATGGATTTAGGGCCCGCGGCAAGTAGCTCACTTAATCCAGAGATTTTGCCTGTGCTGTGCTAGTTTTTTATCCAGCGCCAGTTCTGTTTTGGTGTCTCCCTTTCCACTTGGTAACTTTCACTTGACAATGTCTGAAAGTTCTTAATACATGGCTAAGTCTTCGCCATAAAGTTTTCCGCCCGTTCGGAATGCCTTTCAAATGCTTCTCTCCGTTTCTCTGGCAATACGTTGCGTATGCGTGATTTGACGATGATAGCTGGCAAAGACTGAAGCTCTATGCGTTCAGCTCTACCTAAGTGAAAGCTTTAAAAGGTGCACTGGAGAAACAAATACTTAAATATGATTTACAAAATTTTAAAATTTCAGTGTTGCATGATTGACACTACTAATTTGACAACATTTCTTAAAATTGTTTGAGCTATAAACAAAAAGTTATTTTCCTTTTTTGAGAATAACTAATTGTGTATGCAAATTTTTATTTCGCAATTTTAAATGAACTCTCTATGTATAACATTTGGATAAGGCTTTAGGTAAGCATAATATTATTCTATAATATAACAATATTTTTAATTAGGAATTGCACTTTATTTATTCAATTTTTTTCTGTGTGGGGTATGGTTTATGAAAGAAAGGAAATTGCACGTTAGAAGCCTGCAGAGCTTTGTGTTTTTAGCTGCAATTATGCGGCGGTAAAGCAGGAAAAATCCATGGCATGAAAAAGTATAAGAAATTCCGAGGCATTCTTCCAACAAAATCCCCTGCTGCCATCGCAAAATTCGGCGAAAAACCCAAAAGTCTGGTATTCGGATTCACTTCGAGATCTGAGTGGAGCCTCCACTCGATTTGTCTGCGGTTCAGTGGGTTCAATTCATCAGAGCTCCTGCTCCGCCCTTTTCTGCTTTTCCTATGGCTTTCCATCTTTGCCGAAAAGCAAAAGTAATTACAGGCCAAAAGCAGAAAAGGGTTGACCAAGGCCTATTCCTTTTTTCCATTTCTTGGCAAGCTCATTAAACGAGTGTGTATGGCAATCGATCAAGGAACTTGTGTATGGGTTTTCCTTTATGTTGTGCAACTGTCTCTGTGGTGTGGACCTGACCCACATACACCCACTCTTATCAGGAGCATTCATTGTCAATGCTTTCCGCAAACTTTTCTCATTAGACAGTGCAAACAAAATGGCTGCGTCTGCGGTTTTGCCCACCCAAAAGAGCCACCCACACCCACTCGGCGGATGCCTGCTGATGTGGACGCTTTTGGCTTTTGTTTGACATTGGCTTGGCAAATGGTGTCATAATGGCCGGAGAACTGCAAACAAACAATGGCTGGCGACAGCGGGACAGATGGGCCGAATAATGAAGAGTGGTAGATGAAAGCCATGCATAATGAAACAGGGGAAAACTGAATTAATTGTTGCCAACTCGATGCATGTGTCTCCGAATGAACCTTGACCCACAAGCCATTTATAAAGGTTTTCCAAAAAAAAATGTAATGAAAATCTGAATCTGGTAGTTCGGCGAAATAAATGTATCAAATTGCAGAAAACAAAACGATAAAAATCTTACTTTTTAATACAGAACAAAATGTTTCAGAAGCGTTTAAAGTAAATCATCTTTGGATCAAATTTTTAAGTCTAAATAAAATGTAAATAATTATTAAACAAATATAAAACCACAGATAATTGTATAAATGTAAGTAAAATATAAGCAGGGCATTTTTAATTGTTATGTAAATAACACTTTTTAATTGTTTAACTTTAACTAGAAAGAAATATGCAGTTAGTACGATTGCTGTTTTGCAGTAAAGTTGAGTTTTATTTCGATTTAATAGACATAGACAGGGTGTACATTTATCAGTGTTAATTCGATATCGCTATCCGATTCCGATGCCGCATCCGATCCGCTTCCAGATGAATAGTTCCTCGGGAGATGGTGATCGTGGCTCAGCTACAAAGGTGGACACTACACTACGCTACGTAGACATTAATTGCTTATTTTTAACGAAGTTTCACTTGTGGCATGCATAGAACTATCCAGTGTAGAAATATCCCTCTGTTTTCGTCCTCAGTTTAGATTTGCTTTGTGGTTGAGTGTGTGTGTGTGTGTGTATTTTTTTCGTTCCAGGCTAGAACCTCTGATTGTCAGAAAGTTATTGAAGTTATATCCAAGGGAAGTGCAAGCCGTGACCCGAAAAAGTGCCATTCGAACCGAACTTCGAACTGAGGTCGAGGTAATACTAATTCTACAGCGAACATGGGAGCTTATATACATTTGCTTATTTTCATAGTTATCCATCAATGTTTTCCTTGTGTCTTTGTGCTTGTGTCGGTGTGTGGGCTTGTTTACTCGTTTTCACTTGTGTTTTTAAGCATAGTTACGCTTTTTACCCCTTCAGAGAGCTTCTATTTGCACATCTCGTTTGAACAGATTCTAAGTTATTGCGTTATTGCGTTATTGTGTGTCAATACAATCAACATTTAGCTCGGGTTTACTATAGTTTAGTAGGTACATAAAACACTCTACAACAATAAAATTTCGAAATTGGCTCGCTTAATGCTATAATTCCTACAAAGTCTGAGACGGTGGTTTATCAGATTTAACTATGTTATGTTTTCGTTTGCTTTGGTTACATCTACAGGGTGAAATGGTAAGTGGGTAAATGGGGGAAATGGGAGATGGAAGGGGTTATTTGTTACGCTCGTCTGCCCACTTATTGCTTGCCGTTTTGGATAAGGACTCCATTTAACTGCCGCCTCAATCCTTATCCCTTGTGGTATCCTCCTCCTCCTGAAGCGAAATGATCTGCATAAATCGACAACAACAAATTCGAAAGGTTCTTTAGAGTCGCTGGCATTATTGACATCGGTCTAGGTTTCAGATACTGTAGACATGCCCAATAGCTTTCATCTACTTTCGTTCACGTTCAGCTCTAATACGAATTTCCAAAATAAACGTTACTTGCACGAGACACCAAAGCAAAGGCTTTCGCTGCGGCCCTTGGCCAAATTAAGATTAAGATGGTTAAGCTCTAAAGACTGGCTCTAGTGGTTCGGCTAAGGGATATGCATCTATACGAGCACGAGTATATTTTCGACCAGGTCGCTTGCATACTTACTTGATTGCATCCAGCTGGCCATTTGTTGTGGGTTCATATTTGTTTGTTTTTGTCGGTTATAAATATGCTATTTTACGAGTACGCTCTATAAACTGTGTAGAATTCTCAAAAGTGGTTTTTTCAGCATTTGCATTTGAGGTATGCCCGTACATTCGAAAGGTATTTAAGTAGTGTGTCTATTCCCTAGCAATAACATGTGGTACATACGACTATCTTAGCCTAACGTCCTATCCCCACTGAAAGAAATCGTCGAAGTCATCTAGAAACGAAATGCAACCGAAATTAGCCGGATGGGTTCTCTTTTTTTTTTTTTGATTTAGTCAATTTTGGAGTGCCGTTCTGTGGTGGGTTACTTGCAAAGTGCTCTGTACGGTGAACTAGCTTCGATTTGGAAAACACTGGACAAACTGACATGCCAATCGAGTGGGGGGACTTATCTAAGTGGATTCTTATTTCGGATTTATATGTTTGTTTTTTTCGCATTTTTTTTTGGTAGTTATTCACGTCGCAATGGCTACTCTTCCGGCTGCTGTGGTTTATGGGAGCAGCGAGCTGCGGGAACTGGTTTTCGAACTGTGGGCGGTGGCTGTTGGTTGGTTGTGGTGGTGGTTGGTGGTTGGTTCATTCGGAGTGGTGGTTTCGGATAGTTTGGAATGGAAAACGGGAACTTCATTTTCATTTCTCTTTTATCGTTTATCAATTCTTATGATTAGCAGCAGAATCGTGGCCAAACTGGACAACAACTTTAAACGGAACGAGTATTTAAATATGCAGGAAGATATACATATATACACATCGAGAGAGCGTAAAACGTTATAAAAATCGAGAGGAGTCGAAAGTGAAAACATATCATATATATTATACTTAGAGAACGAAAGCGAGTAACACCTTATAGTACACCTATGTTTATGGTACACTTTCCCAAGTTCCGTCTTGGTTTTCCGGGGATCTCGTATTCTTTTGTTTGGTTGTTCTTGACCGAGAGCAAAACATGCCTGAGAAATATGGATGAACTTAACGTAGAACGTGGAGCTGGGAGAAGGAGCTGCTTACCTCATGGAACCCCAGGGGAACCCCCTCCCTTAAATCCCTGACCCCAATCGGTGCGATTCGATTCCGTTCGTCTGGAATTGATTGCTTTTAATTCGCTCAATTCATTTCGCGCTCGTCCCTTGTTTGCTCATCGAGTTAATCGCACTGCGCGGTTATTGATTGCAGTTTTATGCATTGGCCAGTGCGAAATGAGCAGAGCCACCGGGCGGATGAGCACTTAATATTCATGATGCAGCCATTTACTCGAAAGCCATTACAGTCGAAAACACGCGGAGTTGGCTTGTCGTTACCTCGGCAAAACTAATTATAATAAACAATGGAAAGTGCCATCCTCGCTTTCATTACAACCGGCTTACACGTTTTCCAATCTCCATTTACGAATCTACTTGGGTTTTTTTAATGTTTGGTTTGCGATTAAAGTTTAAAGTTTATCAGTCAGTAAGGAAAATGAGTTAAAAGAATATCTTGGAAATAACTATTGTTAAAGAAACCTTTTAAATGATGGTTTAGTAAATTTGTTTTGTTGGAGGTTCAAAGAAAGAAGTTAGGAATACAATTTAACTTGTATTTAATTCAAGAGATTACTTTTTGTCAGACTACTTTAAAAAATGCTTAACAAGCCATACAAAAATGTTCCTAACTATTTGAATTTACTGGTTTTGATACTTGATACAGGTTGTTGGTCTTAAACTACCAACTATAATGGCACCCCCGAGTATTCTTTATATGAAACCCCAATTAATAACCCCTAACCCAAGTTCAGTCTTTGTTTTTTGGAGTGTACTCACCTGAACACAGTTTCCGGACAATTTGACCATAGATAATTGGGTATAATTGAACGAGCAATCAAAATAAAACGAAATAAACCTTGTGGAAATTTATTAAAATAAATACGTTAAAGTACACTACGCATGGCCAAAACTACAAATAGAAGGTGGCAAAAGGGGTGCTGGAGAACGGAAGTGGTTTGGTGGTGTAGAGTGGTGGTGGTGGTTGTGGTGGTTGTGTTTTTGGCGGTGTCGTTGGTGGTGTGGCGGTTCGATTCGGTCGGTGGTCATTGAGCCACGCAGTCATTGCAATTGGCCGCAGGATCTGGGGTGCTGTTATTCGAGTTGGAATTGGTGGTATTCCGGATTGGGTGACTAGACTCGGACCTGGTTTTGGTGACCCGCTGGCGCAGGAGATGCCAGCGGCGCTGCCAGAAGCTTGTCTTCTTGGCCAGAATCTGCTCGCTGTCGGCCACCTCGATGTGACCCAGAGAAGCCCGGCTCGACTGCGGATGAAGGACGAGATCGGTGCGCAATTGCTGCACACGGCGGACGTCGCAGTTCTCCACCACAATGATGGGCGTTGGTCTTAGAGGCTCCAGTGGATTGAGCCGGATATTCGGCTGCAACGACTGGCAGTTCCGCTGGCGGCGCCACAAGCGCGACTTGAGGCTCGGCCAGTGGAGCAGTTGCCGCAGGGAGATCCTCTGGGGGGACTCCGCTGCCGGTGGCGCCACCAGGAGATCCCTGACCAAGTCGGGCGCCGTGCTCTGTCTGTCGGGCGAGTCTGTGTGCGAGTCCAGCCGCACGGTGCTGCTGTCCTGCGAGTTCTGTGGTGGTGGTGTGCTCACATAGAACTTGGTGCGGGCGGGGCGACGCGGCACCCGCAGACTGTTCGTCTTCCATGCATCGTGCAGGGATCGGAGGCCGGGCAAACGTGCAAGGAGGTGGATGTTATCGTAGGAGGCGGACAACATACCTGCGCGCTCGTCCTGGTACTCATCATCGTCGGACGACTCGAGGCGGTCCTCCACCAGCGAGGTTTGCCTCGAGAGACCCTGTTAAATGGGTTCAGATTGCACAGGTGTTGCACACGTTGCACATTGCACACGTTGCGCACATTGCACACATTGCACAATGTTGCAGGTTGCAGGTTGCACATTTCAGATTGCAGGTTGCAGATTGGTGTGTAAGCAAACAGAGACGAAGCGAAATGAAACGAAAGGAAAGAGACGAAACGAAAACCATAATGGTGAGCGCATCTACTACGAATACCAAAGTATCACACACACTAAAGCGAACTGCAGCTAAGGTCCTTCCATGTCCTTCCTCCCGCGGAGAGAGAGTGGGGATTTCATGGAGTGGATCGACTTACCGCATTGTGGCGTCTTCTCGGCGGCGACCGCTTGTTCCACAGCGCCTCCAGTTGGTCAAAGTGCTGCGATTGGGCCAGAGCCGCCTGCTCGGGTCCCAGATTCGCCTGCGAGGCCCCCGTCTTCGTCTCCGCGATCTTCGAGATCTCCTCCATGCTGGCGGAGACACTGAAGCGCCGCTTCAGCCGCTCATCCACCTGGGCCATCATCACCGAGGAGGTCAGGTGGCCGTACTTCTTCTGCCAGGTGTACGTGTCCAGCGATACCTCCTTCTTCAGCAGCCGCTTCATCTGCCGCTTGGGGCCCTGCGGTCGCAGATCTGCAGGAATAAGATATTCAGATGTAAGAAAGATGTGCATCTAATTAATCAACAAGTGAATAACTCTAATGTTGATAATACTTTTTTTAATGAAGTAACTTTATCATTTATATGAAAAATTATTATTTATATATGTACTTATAATATAACCTCCATATACTATAAAAGTAATTTTTTAATAGATGTAAGATTTTCATAAGAATATTCCTATTAAAACAATTTCCAATTTCTATAATTTGTCAAGCAATTTGCAACATATTGAGAATAAATCCCAATTAATTGTATGCATTTACTCATTAAACAATACCAAACATTTTAAAAAACTTTAATTATTTTGTGGAAAGCAAAACTATAGATATTTATAAGACAAATCATGCTACTGCTAATTCTAAATGCTAACTGACAGATATAGAATAAAACTTACCCTCAACATCCTTGCTGGGACCCGAATACGTGGGAAGCTTGACGTACTGCGCCGGAGTGTTGTGCAGACAGATCACGGGGAGATTATAGCTGTCCACCAATTGGACCAGGACTCGAGACACCTCCAGACTGATGTCGAAATGGGTGAAGGGCACGTGCATTTGCAGTGAGGTCAAAGCCAATCCACGTTTGGTTTCCCAGACGATCAAAGTCTTGTCATCGCTTCCAGAAACTGCAGTAGATCCTATTGAAAAACAAAAATAAAACAAAACATAGTAAAATAAGAAGTCAGTATTATTTTGTAACAAAAACGTTTATCTGAAATTTATGAAAATATCTGATAAAGAATAAATTATATATTCTTTATAGCTTCACACACTTTTTTCTCTACGGTTAACCGGTAAAAAAATCCAAAATCTAATTCGAGACCAACTCACCATCTGCAGAAACTTTGACTCCAATGACAGGACCCAGATGTCCTGCCAGCGTGTGCACCTCCTCCCCGGTGAGCAGGTCCCAGATGATGAGATTCATGTCCTTCGACCCAGAGAGCACCTGGGTCTTGTTGGTAACCGAAACGGCGACGCAGGTGACCGCATCGCTGTGCCCCACCAAAACCTGGCTGAGTTTGCCGCCCGTCGCCTGCCAGACCTTCAAGGACATGTCCCGCGATCCGCTGATGATGTGGACACTATCCGCGCTGATCTCGAAGCAGGTGATCTCATCCGAGTGCGATACGGAGTACTTCTCGTCCTCCTGCGTGAGTGACCAGATCTTCAGAGTGTTGTCCCCGTTCGTGGAGACGGCGAAGCGCATGTTGTTGGTCACGGCGATACTTTTGTAGGGACCTTGGATGGTCTGCAGCAGGTTGCCCGAGTGGGCCATCCAAACCAGGAGCAGGGAGTCCCGATCCGTGGAGATTACCCGCAAGGAGTCCATGAGGACCACCACCTTGACCACCGGGGCAGCATGGCCCTTGAACGTGTGGCTGATCTCGCCCAGAGCCAAGTTCCAGATGTGCACCAATCGATCCTCGGAACCGGTGGCCAGGAACTCGCCATTCGGAGCAAACTTCAGACAGGAAACCACCGCGGAGTGCCCCTCCAAGGTGCACTGGTACTCCGGCGTGTTGATCCTCATCAGGTGGACATTCCGGCCGGAGGCGATGGCCATTTGCTGGGAGTCGCGGGACAGATCGAAGCAGGTAATCGGGGGCAAGGTGGTCGAAGGAGATCGTTGCGCCTGCGCGTGGCGCTTTAAGCTTCGTTTGCGACGCGGGTGTCGTGAGTAGGGATTGATGTAGAGCTCCTCGTTGCGGAACGAGTAGAAGGTGATCTTGTTGCCACCCACGGTGACCAGGAAGTCATCGTTGTCCATCGCATGCACTGCCGTCACTGGTCCAGGATTCGGTGGCATGGATCTCACCAATTTCCCTGCGTGCATATCGTAAATCAGCGCTCGAGTATCATCGCAACCCACGACACATCGTTGACTGTCCTTGCCAATCGAAATGGTTCGGATCTGGGGGATATAACTCTAGAAATCAGTATCCCAAAGGGGGTTCACTTTGACTTACCTTCGATTTGTGCCCTTTGAGGGTATGCAGCTCCTTTCCAGTGGCCAAAGTGCGAACATACAGCGCGTTATCCTCACACAAAGCCAACAGAAACACCTGCAATGTGTTTAAATGAAATGGTTATTAAATTTTTAAGGAACAATTTAATAGTTTTAAAATAGTATGTTCTATATTATATTATTTTTGGGTTGCTTTTTTAACATTCTTAATGTTCTTTACAGGACTTTAAGCTTCAATTTAAATTCAGTACAGTTCCTTTATTAAATGAAATGAATGCCGCGCCAGCGAAATCATTTCCCCAGCTATCAAATGATTTCCTTTATTGATTGTAAAATACTAAAATATTTAAAATACCATTATTAACTTGAATTTTACCATATTTCGCCTTCTTCTCCCACACCATTAAACAAATAATATATATTACATTTTTATGCAAACATAATTATTAATTACATTTTGGCGCACATAACATTCCTGATAGGAAATAAATACATTTTAAAGTTATTTTTGCGCCATTAAGAGATATTAATTAATAATTTTCCCCGTAATTGTGGATCGAATTCACCGACATTAAAACTCGTTGACGAGGTAATCGAAAATTAATAAATTGCATTTTATCAGGTCAGAGACACACAGGCTGCAGCATTTCAATTTAAGGTCAGATCACAGGAAGCTTTTCCCAGGGAGTGGAAAAAGGGGCGTGGCAGGGCTGCTGCTACGAAGCCATCAGGATGCAGGCCAAAGAGCAAGAAAGTTGATTTCCTTTTGCCATTTTCCCTGGCTAAGAACCCACAGAATGTTTGTGTGTGTGTGTGTTTTCATGTCTGTGTGAAATTACATTTCAATTTTGGTAAGGGGAGCTGCCCCGCCCAACCGGAGATGTCCTTGTTATCGCGAAACAATTTTTCCGCCTGCTTATAGGCAATTTTCCCTCAATTTTCGCAAGCACTTTTGTTTAATGTGTGAAATTGTATTTTCGGTGGCGGCAAAGGACATCTCGAGTTTTGGATCTGAAGGAGCCCCAAAAACATTGATAAGTCCAATGGTAATTGAATAGCTCTTTTGGTCTATCCGTTTGCTTTGTCTCTGGCTTTTCAGTTTTGCTCAGTTGTCTGAAATGTGATGTTGGGGCACTCGAAAAAATGTTGTTCTATAGTTTGAAAATCTTAGAATAAGTTATTAAGGATAGGTAGTTTATTATAACTTATTAAGGATTTTGAGATATTGTTAGGTACTAATATTTTTAAATTATTAAGAATTTGGAAAAATGTTATTCTACTTCTTATTCTTCTTTATGAGCCTTTAAGGGTATTCTGTTTATTATGAGTTTATGAGAATAAGTTCATAAAAGATTTTTAAAATATTCAATTAAACATGTTACTTAGAATTAAACGGGCTTGGAGGATAGTTTGAATATTCAAAATAAAGCTAAGTTCTAAGAGAAAATATAGAGTTTAACTTTCAATATTTTGTACCCTTGCGGAGGTAAAAAGTAAATTCAAATAATACTTTGATTAGCTAAGCTATCCCAATCCCAAAGAATTGACAACTTTGCTTTTTTTGAGTGCACTAACTTCTGACTGGTATGCGTTATCCGAGGAGATTCCCTAAAGCCAGGACCTGCAGCCCCGGCAGGCGCACCTTGAATTACAGTTGGCTTCTCTGTTGTCTGTCTATTGTGGATTTGCTGGAGCGAGCCAGATGGATGAGGGGGCGCTTAAGGAGCGAGAAGCGAGTGGAAGCACGCATAAATTGCCATAAGATGCGATGGGGACCCGGACCCACAACAGTTGCCATTGACAAAGGACTGCGATGTCGCAGGAGAAAGGAGAGGAGAGAGGACCCCTGCCGGTATCTTGATATTATTTTGCGTGCCAAATTGCTGCTAAGTATGCAATACTTATTGATAGAGGCAGGCACGACCCACACACACACACACACTTGCACGTGCACATATAGTACACACACATCTGGTTTTTTGTCAAGCTGATTGACAACAAAGGATTTGGCGCGTAATACGTTCCCAAGCCGGAATCACTTATTAGAATTTCCACGGCGAAGCCCCGAAGTTGTCAAGTCACCCAGCTTTATCTGTCATATCTCAGCGAATCTATTCGCTCGTCCATCTATTGTGTTTAGCTTTAAACTTGCTGGAGGAGGATTTCAGTTTCCTTCCATGTCGCCCGTGACATTTATGTTGCCTTAAATTGCGCTTTTCGTTATTGGGTTACTTGGGACGCTTCACTCAAGTGGAATGCGGCTTAAAGCTTGTCATTCGCTTTTTTAGTTCTTCTTTCCCTTTTCGCTTTTTATTATATTTTTCCGTCTCGAACACAGGAATTTCTTTTAAAGCTTTTCCGCTGTGCATGTTGAGCGGGGAAATCCCCTTAAGGACTCAACTTTTGTCTCTGCTTGAAGTTTGTTTCGTTCAATTTGAAAAGCCACAAAAAGTGTGTGGAGAACTCGCTGAGGATGCACTTGCCAAATTCATGCCAAAAGGAATCCTTTTTTGCCAATTAATTGCGAGCGTGTAAACTCACCGAATTCCAGGATATGTCGATGCGCAGAATAGGACTTGTCATCTGCATGGTGTTCAGCAGGGCGAAGTTCTCCAGGTCCCAAACGCAAATGGTTCTGTCGTGACTGCCCGAGATCAGGACATCGCAGGCTCCGGCCACCAGGATCCCGGTCACCGGCCCGCGGTGATGGGTGATGCGATGTCTCTGGAAGATTAAGGGTTAAGAAAGAGGGCAGTTATAGGACAAATTGCTAGACTTATTTTGTTTCTGTAACATAACCATAAAATTCTCTAAGCAAAAGGTTATCTGAACTATTAAAACGGATCCTTCCTTCTACAAACATTTTGTATTTTAGTATTTATATTTCACTATCAGCTCGGTAAAAGAGGTTGTTAGCAAAAGATTAAAGGATTTCTAGCTCTTAAGAATGTAAATAGAACAAAGCGCTGTTTAATCCCCAGGTTAGTTTCCTATTCGCATAATATGACTACAGAAAAGACAGCCCTTTTTATCACATATGTTCATCGAACGCCATTACTTTGGAATGCCAACTAAACGAATGGATTTTAAATATTAATCACAGGTAGTGGCGAACGGGTGGACTTCTTTCCAACCGGCTCTTCGAACTGAGTTGCGTGACACATGTGCTAGTCTGAATTTCGCCGTCACTTCCGCTCCCCTTTGTTTGTCACATTTCGTATGCATTAAGTTAATTACCACTCGGCATGCGAGTTTCCCTTTGCCCAGGGAAAAAGCAACGGAAAATGCCAAAACTTTGATAAATTACCCTGACTTAAAAAAAAAAAAAAACATACGACGGTGGCGGTTGCATGAATGGAAATGCCGGCATGACACGGCGTATACGTAATATCGTAATTAATTCAATAAAAGCGCGTAATTGCAGGTGTGTGTGGGAATCTGTGGCACTTCCGGTCGCAAACAGGGTGTATTGCACCCCTCGTCTAGGGAAATGGGAAAAATCGTGAAGGGCTTGCAGCCGCCGAGTCAGCGAAATTGACTTTAAAATATGCCCGGGGCCAACCGAGTGGCAATAAATCTAATTTCTATGCTCGTATGTGTGTCAACAGGACGACGACAAGGACGAAGAACAAGGCCACGGTGTTTCCCCCCAACACACACACACACACACAGATGGGGACACATATACATGCGATATGCAAACATGGCGCATTGTGGGTAATCACAGTTTAATGTGTGCGTCTCTGAAATATCAAGTTAGTATGACTTATGGCGGGGCGGAAATGGGGAAAAGTGGGGCAGGACACCACCACCACCACCGGCAGCAGCAGCCTCCTGCTGCCACGGTTCATTTGCCAGGCCGCGGAATGTGTAAACCCATGTTCAACGAGCAGCACACACATGTCACCCCCATCCCCATCCCTTTTATCCACCTCCCACCTCCTCCCCTCACATAAATCCCCTCCCCCCGCCACTCAAATCTCAACCCATTCCCGGGATGACCTTGCCTGCTGTTTGATGAAAGGCTGTAGCACAGTTAGGCGGAATTTATTTGGGGCCAGGGAAAATTATGCAAACGCATTCGGTCTGTTTGATCTGGTTTGCGGCGAGGTTTCGCAATTAGCTTCGCCAAATGCATTTTTCATCGCCCAAAATGGAAAGCGTTCGATGCATTTCAAATACATAGTACCCCGGGAATAATTTATAAAAGCAAGCCGACTGTTGTTTGCTATCATTCAACATGACACATTTTAATCGATAGCAATTACTGAGAACTGAAACAAACGTCTGAAATTGAAGTTAATGTGTGAAATTAAAAGATGTTGTTTAAAGGCAAAAACTACATTTCAATGGGAAGTGAAGTTATCAAATAAATTGTTTGAATTGCTTCTCGATGCAAACAAGAAAAGATAAAAAACATTTTCGGTCAAGACAATTGTTCTGTCTTTTTGCCTGTCTGAGTCCAGAAATATGATTGTTTGACCAGAAATAACTTTGTCTCTTGCTTTTGTAAACTTTGACATTTAATTTAGGTATGCATTTATGTTTTAGCAGGTAAGAATGGCTCAAAGAAATTAATCTTTTTGCAATGGAGCACAAAAAATGTTTAATAAATCTAAGCTAATAAAAACTATTCTTAAATATTCCTAACAAAATAATTTATCTTTACAAATTACAGAGTATATTTCAGCACAACTAAAAGCCTTTCTAATTCCATGAAATAACTAGATATTTAGTGCTTTCATTTGGTGAACCAAAACTGTGGGTTTTGTACTCTGGATTTTCTGTTTTGCCACCGCATGAAATAATTTCCAATTAGCTTATGGCTGGTGCATGAAAATCCCTTGTAAAGTTTTGTAGTCTCCGTTCTCCCATTTTTAATTCGCTAAAAATGACCGTTTCAGCACCCATTAAGTCCCAAATGAGAATCCCTCCTTTGTTTTCGGTTTGCTCACCAGTTTGCCGCTGGCCAGGTCCGTGATGGCGATGGTTGCATCCTCGCTGCTGCTTATGATGAGCGTGTTATTGACGCCAGCTGCCACGCCCGTAATGGGAGCCGTGTGGGCGTTGCTAGGATAAACGGTAAAACGGAGAAGAGGAGGATGTTTAGATAAATTGCGCCTGCAGAGATTTACAAATTACGCTCGAGGCGACGAATGGCAAAATGGTTACGATAAAAAGGCGGCACGGTCCCGTGCACAGAGATATATAGTGTTTATAAATCAAAAAATTCTGCCGGAAATTAAATTCAAAATGCTCCTAAAGTCAACATAGTTGTGTTGCTAATTTAATAATGTTCGCTGGGTATTTAAATAAATGTTTTTTTATTGCTTCTATTTTTTGACTTTTCTATTTTTCATGGAACCAAATAATAATGACTGTTGTTTTGTCTAAAATTCATGCTAAAGAAAATAGAATAACACCTAATAATAATATCTTTGTAACAAAATAGTTTAGCTTTCTGAGATTATATTTATATAAAAAATGCAATTATTTCATTAAAACAATAGAATTTCAAAAGGCAAGTTTTTTTAATGTAAGCTAAAAAGTAACAAAAACCAGGAAAGAAAATTATAAAAGTTATTATTATCGACAATTTAAATAAAAATACTTTTGATTATATAATAATATTTTTAAGTGTTTAATATTTTCATATAAACTGTTCTTCATCGCTTTGATTTTTTTGCAAAAAACAGTACAAATTATATATTTTTCCCCAGTGTACTTACTTTATGTGCGCTCTACGCTCGCGGTATGCTACGTGCCACACGAGAACGCTGGCATCTTCGGAGCCGGTCAGCAGAAGCTCCGACTCCGACTGGGGAGCCACCAGGAGGCACGTGACTGCCGCAGTGTGTCCTGCCGCAAATGGAGAGGATCGAGAGTGGAGATGGGTACGATTAGCTCAGCTAATGGCGGGTACTTTCCCCATGCACCTCCCCTCTAACTCACCCTTGAAGATGTGCTCCAGCGAGTTGCTCATAATGTGCCACTGCTGCACGTCCCCAGAACTTGTGGCCAGGATGAGGTGCTGCTTGGAGGGAGCCAGGCAGACAGCACGGATGCATCCCGTTCCGCTCACCGTCATTGTGCGGATCTGTGAGGGAAGCGGGGCGGGCAGCCAGCCGGTGAGCGGGACGAGGAGCGGGACCGCATAGCCGTCGCACCAGGCGGTCGCCGAGCGGACCGTCATGCTCAGCAGCGAGTTGTCGTCGTCGTCGTGCTCGCTGATCGGACGCAGCCAGGATATCAGCTGGGAGCCCAGCTGCATGGGATCGCGGGTCAGGACGTCGCTTGACTTCCGGATGGTGTAGTAGATCAGCTCGATGTCCCTATCCAGGATGTAGCAGCGCACGTGCTCGATCAAGCAGCGCAGGTAGCTGATGGATACAGTTTGCACCTGGGAATCAAAAGGTACATACCAAAATAAATATAAAACATTTATATTAAGCCTTATTACATTTTATCTTCATCAAGCTTAGATTGGGCATAAGTATTCATCAATCAATAATTTTAAAAATATGTACTTTTCTAAACAAAAACTTACAATTTTTAATGCAGTGACCCCTTAAAAATGTCTTTTTATATAAATATATTATATTCCTATAAATTTTAGAACTATTAATAGCGTTTTATAAGTGGACAAATTTAGAAAACCTTTTGCTGAAGCGGCAATACGTATTATATAAAGATTTGTTTTATTCGTTAGCCGTCTTGCATAACAAACACCTTAAAAAACAATTTCTTGAGTTATCTCCTGTCAAAATAAATCATTTAACTTTATTCTGTATAATGTCAAATTATTTTTTGTTAAGCAATCAAAGCCACACTGACTTGGCCTTATTATTTACAATATTAGTCGAGCCCAAACATAATTCCCATTTAACAATGAAGCACAACCCTTGTCACTTAATGTCAACTAGTGTGCTTTTAGGCAAAAGTGTATTTACATATTGGTGTTAATAGAAATCCGGCTGAGACAGTCCTTATATTTCAAAGCTTAAAGGACAACAAAGCAGAGTTAATTGAAAACCATGTCTGAAAATTTCGCCTGCTAATTACAAGGGAGATATTTCTCACCTTCTGTAATTTCGGAAATATAGTACGTTTTGCAATGAAAAACAATGCTGATTAAATTAATTAGTCACTCCCAAAACAGCTGTAATTTTAAACCCTTCGAGGTCAATTTGCTACATGAACAAAAGTAGTGTGAAATCGAATAAATGGAGGATAAAATCGGCTAAATGGAGAATGAAATCAATTTAAGTTTCATTGGACTGGGCGTTAATTAGATGCAAAATGCTTTATATTTTATTTATATTTGTTCGGGGGTTTTTTCTATGCGGTGTTTCCATGCTAGCCGTTGGGAATGCAAATGTTGGTTGTTAAAAATTTATCAGTAAATTCCCTTCGTGAAAGGATAAAAAGGCAACAAACAAAATCGTTAATTTGATTGGCCCACATCCACACAAACTTGCACACCCACAAACGAAAGAGAGAGTCACAAAAGTTTAATTGCATACTTTCCAGAGCGAAATAATGAGTTTTCCCGACTGAATGAAACAAAACGGAATGAAATTAAAAGCGCTGAATGGTTGGAGGGGAGGGTTTTGGGTATCGGGGGATCAGGGAATCATAGCAAATGGCCAACTGCAGCGAAACAATTAGGCAACCGAATTAAAAGAACCGACAGCTGTCCGAGTTTCGCCTGAAGTTTGCATTTTCGAGAGGGAAATTCACAGAGCGGCCACCGAATATCCACTCTAATTTGATTATCACATTAAACTTCTATGAGCCTTTTATCGAGTTCAGCTGCCTATCTGCCTGTCTTTCTCAATTAAAATTACCAAACGGTTAGGGAGCTTTAGGGATTTGATGCAGTCGAGTGATTTTTGGCACAGAAAATGGAATTGGTTTATGTTGTTATCGGATTTTACATCCTCAAGTTTGCTGTTTGAATACAGCTTATTTTTAAAGTGTATTTAATCTGCTTACGAAATGTAAAAGCTGCTAAATAAATGAATGAAAAACTAGGCAGTGAGCTTTGATAATAAACACCTTTAAAGTGTAAATAATTTAAAAACATTGTTAGCACGTTCAGATTAATTTAATTTTTTCTTTTACAAATTTCTCCTTTGCCTGTACTTGTTTCAACTTCACTCTAATGACCAATTGAAAAGTATTTTCCAACTGCAAAACTATAATTTCCATTTAGGCACATTATTTTTCGGGTGACTGGTATCACAATCAATAGCAAATAAACCACTTTCCCCCAACAATTTCCCTTCATCAGCTGTCGCTTTGAAAGCACAAATTAACTTTGTGCCGCATTTGCTGGTGCTAAATTTTGACATGTAAGCGGAAGACTGTCAGTTTGATTGCCAAATTAGCCCGGCAATTAAGAGGGGCTCTCACTGATTGCGTTTCCAGCTGGGAAACCGACGAAACTGAAGGTTGATGAAACTAATTGGGGAGCTTACCGCCGCCAGCAGGAAGTCGAAGTTGCAGACGGCGATCTGCTTGAACCGCGTGGTGTCATCGGATCGCATCAGGTGGTGCCAGCTCTCCTCCACGTGCCGCATGCTGTAGCTGACATCCGCTGCGATTGGATTGTAGAAGGTGGAGGTGTCGTCGTTGTGGTGCGTGGACGAGGACTTCCTCCCTGCGGAAACGGCCGATACCGCCGACAGTGAGTCCTTCTCGCGGTCCTTCTCCTTCATACTGATCACCGACTTGGTCTCGCTGCGATTGGACTCGTTCTCCAGGGTGCTCTCGTCCTCGTCCTGCGGGAAGAACAGGTTGGCCAGCTCGCAGTGCAGACTCCGCGTCCTCTGGACGTCCATGTACCGCCGCTTGGCCACCGAGGCGCAGTAGTTGTGCCGCCACTGGATCAGCACCTTCCCGGACATTATCTTGTCGTGCAGCAGCAGCAAAAGGTCTGTAATAAAAAATTAACATGGCATAAGACGAAACCTACAAAAAAGTATCAGCAGAGTTCTGCTGGTGATTTTCATCCCAAAGAAAATTAAAAATGGACTCAATTATTTACAAACTCCATTCACGGTGACGATTTGGGTCTAATGGACTTTGAAATTGGATTTAGTACTCTACACTTAAATATAAATTATATGAAAAACACAAATATCAATGGCACCAAGAAACTACAAAATATCTTAAAAGATTTGTTTGGAACCAAATTTCGACATTTTTTTTAAAATTGCTTTGTACTTTAAAAGGCGTTGAAATAAAAACTTTAGTTCAAATTTAGGTGAAATAATAAAATTATAATATTTTAGCATTTTGTGTTTATGCACATAAACGTATAAATATGAAAGTTAGGTTTAAACATTTTTGTGAACACTTTTTGTTTTTGTTTTTTGAAAATTTAACTTGTTTATTTAAAAGTGCGTAATAGACTCTTTAACATGAAAATGTTTTTATTAAAGCTTAGTCTGCATAAAGTAAAAGTAGCCATATGCTCATAAATTTTTTTAAGAGTTAATTGAATGCAAGTGAAATCGTAAATCGTAGTTCCTGTAAGCCTTCATCCTTTCATGTATTTGTCTAAAACCATTCACTCACCCATCTCGCGATGGATCTTCTTGAAGGTGGCGAAGCTGAAGTGTCCGCTCTTCGTCTCAATCAGCGACTCCGGATCGTTGGTGGGCATGAGCAGTTCCAGCAGCTCCGTCTCGCTCAACCCATATTCGGAGCAGGTGATGTAGGCGGCCAGACCGCCCACCGCCTGTCGTCCGTAGTGCCGCTCCAGCTGGTCGAACTGCTGCTCCACGTAGAGGGAGAAGCTCACATCCCCCGGAATGCATTGCGGCGGAATCTTCAGCCGGGCGGCGAAGTCCCCCAGATTCAAATCGAACTGGTATTCAGCGGACTTGAAGCGATCCCGCTGCATCGGAGTGAACTTCAGCTGCTCCACGGGAGTTGTGGAGCTGCTGATGATTTGGACATTCCAGGGGAGCGAGGTGGGTAACCACGAAAGAGCCGTGACAATATCGCAGTCCAGGGGATTCAGCAGGTGTAAATCATCGATGAACAGGAACAGGACATCGTTGCCCATGTCCTCGACTCTCCGGAGGAGATTCTGGAACCAGGTGTTGATGTACAGCGGGTCGAAGGAGGCGTCCTTGGGCAGATAGCCCTCTGGGATGTTGAAGATGATCGAGATCTGCTGGCAGATCACGCGCAGCAGCTCCAGATTGTAGGCGGATCGGGGCGTGGCCTTGGCGAAGCGGATGACCCGGTGGACGCGGGTGTTGCCAAACCAGCTGCTCACCTGGCCATAAAGGTGGCTCAGGATGGCGCTCTTGCCACTCCCGTCCGCTCCGCAGATGAAGTACGGTGCATGCCGACTGCCGTTCCGGAAGTTGGCCATCAGGTTCTGGCGGAGTTGATGGGGCACCCGCGACTCCAGCAGAGCGGCACTCTCCGTGTGCTCCCGCAGGATCCGCAGGTGCGTCGCGTGCTCGTGAAAGATTTCCTGCAATGGCCAAGAAATACAAAAAGGATAAATTAACAGACTTTATTCTCTAATGAATTAAACTAATTTATAATCATTTTTATATTTTTATCAATTCATTTCACTTCAATTTCAAGAAAGCACAAGCTCCCTAATTCCCAAATTTTGTATATTACAGTATTTCCATGTCATTGACAATTTATTTAGTTTTTAAAGAAAATGAAAAGATTAAGAATATTGTTGTAACAAAAGTAGTTTTAGATCTTATACCGCTGATAACTAAATGAACATCTAATTTATATTATTTATATTTCTGTTTAACTAATTTAATTTCAATTAAGATCCCAGCATTTAGATTGTAGATCAACCAAGCAAAAGTTATCTAGCTCCCAGAATTTATGAGTGAAAGTGTTTTCTTTATATTGCCAATATATCAAGTATGTACATCAAGTTATATTGTTTTATTAAAATTAACTTTAAAATCTTCAATTTATTAGAGTGAATTTAGCTAGAAATTTTGTGGGAATTCAGTTTTTGATTGATAGAAACAAACTTAACCAGAATTTTGTCAAAATAAATATGACTTTTCACTTCTGCAACTGACGTTTACCACAATTTGAGAGTGAGAAAAGTGAGCTTAATTTAATGTTTAATCACCATGAGATGCCATCTGCCGTAATCAATTATAACCTCATCTGGGGCAGGTATTAAATTAAATCAATATCGAAAATGTTCGTACATCAATTAAATGTGTTGATTACTGAAGTTGATCCGACTTATGAATTATTATGAAGCGCATTAAATATGCTTTAAATATACATTCAGTTGTTAAACAAGGTCAGCAGTCTGCGTGATATTTTTTGCAGGATGTAATTATTTTTGATTGCGGGAATGCGAGAGTAATTTGCATAGAAATACGTATTTGAATGTTTTTGGACCGGTTTTCTGCTTTGGTTCGGTTTGGTTTGGCTTGGTTTGGTTTGTCGGTAATTGGATTTGCCAGCCATCTGCCACCGGCAGCCATTTCCCGACCCCGGTGTCATTTTCCAACCTCCAACCTTCAACCTCCTTCAGCCATTCATCTCGGACCAGCTTCCGCATGTGACCTCTAAGAGGTCCTCTTCCACTCACACACACCTCCGGGATGTCAGTCCTCCTCCTCCGCCTGCCAGCGAGTAAATAAAATAAAGTCGCACATGTATTGCCAAGTGTTGCCCGCTTCCGTTTCCGTTCCGTCCGAGGCGCCCCGGAACAGTCCGCGTCATCAGCATCAGCATCAGTATCCCCAACATCAGCCTGAATGCGAGTGAGTGGCATTCAGCGTGTTTGCCACGTAACTTTGTTTACCTTTGCCACAGCTTCTGCCCTTCTACCTTTCCACCCCCACATTTGCCCACCTGCTGGGCAGGTGTTTGAGTAGGTTGTACTTGGAAAAACAAACTCACTAAATGGTTGTGAAAAGGATATACGAATCTACGGATCTGAGGTTTTCGTTTGAATATTTTAGAAATATTTGTTTTGAAATCAGTAATCTAAGCCAATCGTAAAATTTTTGGCTTGGCTGCTTATACAACAAGCACAAGTGTATTCTAATTTAAAAATGAAACAAAACTAAAGAAGATTTTTTATCTCATTAAATATAATAAATATAACAATGCCGAATGTTGTGTCTATTAAAATAAGAAATTTCAAAAGTAGCGATATTTTAAAAATCCCTCTTAAAAAAAGCAAAAGAAATAGTAGTCGAAGTATATAAAAAATGTTTAGTAAAAGAACAAAGATTAACAAATTTAAAAAAAAAAATAGCTATTAACATTTTAACTTGTCTGAATGTCCTAAAACAACTCTTCCCTAAATTTTGGATAAATAGTTTCTGAGTATCTTAGATTTAGATGTCCGCTTGCCAATTTATGAATTCACTTTTTTTGCGAGTGTCAGTCACCTTGTCTGGCTGTGGCATGTTTGGCGCTAACAAGTACTCACAGTGTCCTTGCCAGGATCCCTGGCTCAGACTCTCTACGAGTCTGTGGCGGAGTCTCTTATGCCATTTCTCGCCAGTAAGCGGCTTTTGCTTTGTAAATCTCATTTGACAGCAGCTGCGTAATGCATTTCTCGGCGACACGACTACCGAATCAATAAGGCCAGAAGCTGTCTGGCCACCCAAACCTCCCACCTTTCATGTCCCTCCCCTCAGTACACCCTTCCCCTTAAAGTCGCCACAGTTGTCGCTTAATTAGTTGGCATTTGACTTGCTTTAATTTCATTTCAGCAGAGTACTAGAGTGCTCACCCACACAAGAGTTGCTCATACGACGTGTTGCACCAGAAGGGGATTATGGGTGAAAGGGTGAGAGGGTGGTGGAAAGGGGGTTCAGCACACTTTGCATATTTCTTGGTTGCGGCAACGAATGCCACAGCATTTTGTCAAAGAGCGTGCAGAAGGTGCAGGAGCTGGGGTTCAGCTTCTCTCGGCTTTGCAACACTTTTATCCGCATCGGCTGGCTAAAATGGAACGGTTTGGGTTGCGATGGGATGGGATGGGATGTTGACCGGGCCTGAATGCAGTTTACGTTGCTGCATCGTTAAGTGCAAACAAGGGACGACCTGCCTGGGCGTGGCTACATTGTGCCCAAGTGTAAGTGTGTTAATATGTCAGTGGCGGTGGCAAAAGGGGGCGGAGCAAGGGGCAGCGGAACCCAAGCGTTGAAAGGAAAATTATGAAGGTGAGGCTGGAGCAGTCAGTTGGCAACTGCTAGCTTAGAACCGGGGCTAATGCACTTGAAACAATTTAGTATAAAAAAATAGTAAGTAAAATATGTTTCCAAAGTGTTAGTACCTGTCTCAAAAATATCCGACAAAAAAATCACAATTTTAATAAGGAAATATTTTGTATAATAAACAATTTAAGTTAAAAAAATGAATTTTTTGTCAAGAACCATCTTAAAGAGTTGTTTTTAAAAGATTCAGATAGAATGGTTTTATACACAATTTGTTTATAAACTTCTTCTTGAAACTACATATTCTTATTTAAGATGAAATGTTCTATCGCTTCAATTGGTTGGTTATTTCATATTTATCATACTTATTTTGTTTAGTAGTTAAATAAAATTCTTCACACATTCGAACTCAATATTGATATTTTGAAAACCAGTTATAGACCCCGAAACTGTTTCGAGTGCAGCACTCGCATTCGCCCGCTAATGGCAGCGACCAGTTCGCATTACGCCTCGTCCTTCGGCTGCGACCGAGCTGAAATGTTAAATGCTTTCAACAAAAGCCAACAAGAGGTGTCGTTTGTGGGTAGCCAAGGGGGGAGGGGGGATATGGCGAAGGGGGGATGGGAAAGTGACGGCGAGTGAACTTATGCAATGCAGGGCCATGGAGAAAACCGCAACTGGAACGGAAGGCGATCCGAGTGGAGCTTGGAGCTTGAGGCTTGGAGAGCAGCGGCAACCTTGAGCTAAACGATTTCCTCAGCCATTTGCCGTTTTTGGGCCAACTCGATTTCAATTGGTTTTTATTGCAGGAAATCTCTTTCAAACTCAATTTCGACAACTGTCATATGCAAAGCACACTTTTCGGGCATCCTTTTTGAGACTAAACACACACATACAGTCGTGAGCAGAAGAATAGCAGTTACCCAAATAAAAACTCTTAAGATGACTTGCAAAGCGAATAAAAAAATAGAATTTTTAATAAAATGTTACCAATGTTAAAATGTTACCAATAAAATTAAAAACCACTCCTGAATTTTTTTTATTAAAAGGACATTTTATTTTGATCACAGCTGTTTGTATAAGAAGAACATGCATGCCAGCAGCTTCAGTTGGATTTTTCTGGAAATTGCAATAGCCGAACAAAAATCTCAACATATTTCAGGTAGAAGCTGGTATAAAGAGAATCTTTAATAAGTTTTTATATGCACATACTTCTTTCAAAATTTCAAAAAGCTTTTTGTTTCATTTGTGTATTTAAATGCTTTTTATTCTGCAAATGACAACCTTATGGACAAGCAATTTCAGATGTCACGTTTTCAATTTGTTCAAATTGCATTTAGTGCAGTCCCGTTCAAGTTTTAAAAGAATTTAATTTCGTTTCAGACAAAACTCTTTGCTGTTTTGTTAAATTATACAAGTTTTCCCATGCCATAAACTTTTCTTTGAAGCCTAATTCACCTGCCACATGCCAAACATTTAATTAACACGCAGCCATTAGTCGAGAACACGAGACTTTGTGGCGCGGCCAATATGCGGAACCATTAACAATGGCTAAGCTGAAGAAAAGCCCAGCAAACAGGGCATAAAAAACAAGGTAACACAGAATCATAAAGGCCGTGTTCCACCGACTCTTGTCTGGGCGTAATTCTCGGAATTAATTTATGGTTCTTCGGTTCAGCCGCTGGCCAACCGGCGAATAACAATCAGAATCGCTGTTGATTAAATAAGCGGTCAGCGGTTTAGAGAAGTGGGGAAAGTGGGGAAAGTGCTGCGAAATACATTTAATTTAATTCGCGGCCCCAAGCGCTTTGTTACCTGTCTGTTCTGCTAATGTTCTGCTACCAACTCACCTGCACAGTCTTTTTCCTCCCCTTGATTACGTCGGGATCATTGGTTATGTGCGCCTCGATTAGCAGGCGCAGCTTGTCGGTGACTTTGTTCTTGAACTTGCTCAAGTAGGACTCGTGGTCCTCGTTGTCCGGGTCGATGGCCTCGCTGGCCGCACTGCCAGGCACCCTGAAATTGGTAATAGCCTCAATCAGCCGGCAATCATAATCAGCAATCTCGGGGGCCCAATAATTACATCGGTGTAACCGAAAATAGTTAAACGGTCTGCCTAATGCTCACAAAACGTCAAAGCCGTTAGCTATTTAATTTTACTTTCTTCCTTTTGTAACCAACGAAAATATTATTATTTTTCTTTGATTATTAAATACCATGTTGTATTATAAGGAAAAAAATGACTGTAAGTAGGCAGAAAACTAATAAGCCAACTCGGTGGAATACAAGTGGAAATTGAGTTTGATTAGAAATATATTTTAAACGCTTTTTTATATAACTCCTATAAAATTTTGACAGGCTTAAATGCATAATAAGTTTTTTTTTGCATAACCCTCTCAAAACTTTTGTTTAAAAAGTCAGTTTTTACTAAAAAAGCTTTTTAAGTTTCAGTTTACATTTTGCATGGGTTAATGATGCATTTTTCTTTTTCCAGTCAAAGTTTTTCGTTAGAATAGCAAAACCTTTTTAGACTACAAAGAGTTGTTAGTTTAAGTGTTAACTTGTTAACTCTAACGAACTAAATTCTTTTTGTTATTCTATAGTCTTTGGGTTTTCAAAACACATCTTAATTAAATTTCAGTTCTGAAATATTTGAATATCATTAAGCTGAAATACTTACACCAGAGTCGTGTGATTATCCGTGGAGAGGTTCATGGTGAGTTCGTCCTTGATTTTCCTGAGCCTTTCGCTTGCCTCAACGTCCCGTTTGCTGCATTGGGCGGCTCGTTCTCGGAAAACTGCCAGGATTTTCTCACTAGTGTGAGCTAGTCGAAGAAAAGCATTTAGGGAATACATAGGAATATGTAATTAAGGGAAATTTAATAGCCCTTCTTACCCATGGCCTGCGTGACCTCCCTTTCGATTTGTGTTCGTCGCAGCTTTTGAACCCGCTCCACAAAATCCGCAGATCGGCCAGATGCACTGGCTCCTTGGACCAAAGATTGCAACGATTGCTCCATAAATTTCTGCATCTTTTGCGATTCCGCTAACCAAGAATCCAAGGGCAGCATGCTGGAATATGGGATTTTCCCAAGCTAATCAATAACTGGTGGACAAATTCCAGACGTCGAATCAAGTGTTGGCATTTCCATATTTGCTCTGTCCCACCCATTGTGCCCGCCCATCCAAATATTTGTCAAAGTTCAGCTCCAATTGAGTTGCCAAACAAAGCAAAAGTGGCACATGGATAATTTCATTCAAACATGGGACAATGGAACGGAAACGGAACTTTGACAAATATTGAGTAACTTTGTCCATAACTATTTTCGTTGCAGTTTGTAATTCGGATAACTGCGCTAGCAAGCCAAAAATAAATTTTCAGCTAGCTTATGTCACTTATTTTAAAGGGCATGTTAAATGAATCAATATTTGCAAAGAAGAAAAGTGGCATCTGGTTTGTTTTTGTATAAGAGCAAATGCTTTTATCCCTCTAATAAATAATTGAAGTTAACTCACCGATAATCTTGTTTGAGCTGCCGCTTCGACTGAGTTGCATCCTTTTCGTACCATTTAGAAACGAAAGCCTCTTGGTCAGCGGTGGTCTGAGGATCTGAAAGGACTGCGGAGAAGATGTCCTCGTCCAAATGAGTCGGCAGGAGCTGGCGACCGATGCCATCGCCCACGAGCACCATGAAGAAAACGCTCTTCGAGTGGGCGTGGCAGGTGTCGATCTCGTGCAGGTAGTCGTGGATCAAGTAGGGATCCCGCTCCAACTGGTTCACCTCCAGGTCGCCGGTGCCGAAGTGCATGTCCACGAACTCAAGCTGCGTGAAAACAGGTAATCAAACAGAAAAAAATTATTTTAATTATTGTAAATCAATTATATACTTTTATCAAAATTTAAGAAGTGAAATTTTTATCAAGCAAAACAACAATACGATTATGTAGTATTACATAATCTATTTGATTTAATTAGTTAGATATTAATCTGGTTCTCTTGTAGACACATGAAAACCAGTATTATATTTCAGATATGCACACTTATAACTCTGAGTTTTAAAAAGTATAATTAAACTTAAAAAAAATATTTAAATAAAAAAGATAAAACCTCTGTAAAAATAAATTCAACATTCCTTTGTATATCAATACAAATGTATAAACGAAATTAAAATCTAAAATTGAAATCATCACGCTGTTGATATTCATATACATACTACATTGAAAATAATAAAACATAAAAAGTTTTTTCACAACGTGTTAAATCAAATATAACTAGTTTACATAAAAAAAAAAAACATGAATTCAAAAATCAAAGAGATTTTGTTGACAAAACGTTTGTGTTTGTGCATTTCATGTTTACATAATTTTTGCAGACACTCTTTGCACATTTTGCTAGCAAACGATTTGTTTACTGAGTCATTGCTTAAAGACCTTTTTTAATTAACTTTCATCTGGCTTAACCAGACTCGAAAACCCACCTCGATTTGCCGGTCATCGTAGAGGGTCTGCAACTCCGGACCGACGAGCTCGAGGAGCATGCGGCGCTCCTGGTTGAACTCCTGCTTGAGACTGGCCACGTAGATCTTGATGAGCAGCGGCTTCGGGAGGCGGGTGTGGGCGGAGGTCACGCCCCTCAGTGCATTCAGCACACTCTCGTCGATGGGCGCGGCCATTTCCCAAATGCGAGCTGGCTCTCCCCCTTGATTATTTGTTTGTTTTCCTGCGGCCGGTTCTGTGATTGAGTGGGTGAGTGGGTGGTGGTATGTGCTCTCGCCCCCCTTCCTCGCCTCGTTTCGCCTGTTTATTCAAGTTGGCCGAAATGTAGCGGCATCGTCGCCCCCGTCGCGGTTTTACCAGAATCAGCTCCGAGCTGCCGGCAGCTTTGGCACATGTTCAACTCGGGCGCCGAATGAATTCGCATCCGTATTCCTGGGCATAGCGGGCCAAAAGTTTATCCTTCCCTCGATTCAGCTGCAAATTGAAAAGAGCAAAAATTTTATTTATGGCAAACTTTTTGCATAACCCCCATACGTAATAAAAAGCGAAGCCACGCGAGACAAGAAAACTTTCGTCCCATGATCAAGCGAGGGATAAGTTCATGGTTACTATATACACTTCCTGTCAAAAAGTGCAGGAGGGGCAAAAAGAGGGGGAGTCCATAAGTTGGACAAGTCAGCAAAGTGTTAACATTCGACTGAGTTGTTGATTGAAACATTTGGCCAAAATATTTCTGCCATTGCCAAGCGGAGGGGAAAGTTTATTCCGAATAATGGGTTTGCAGAGGAAGGAAGCGCTTTAGTTTTATCCTGTAAGTCAACTTTATTTTGAATGCTTTCCTAGAACAATAATTCAGGGAAATGTTAAAGAATAGTTTTTCGATTTTTGAAATTTGTGTGGGGTTCATTCCTTCAGATATTACCGATAAATAATAATATTAATTTTAATTAATTTTGCCTCACTTTTAAGATCTGTCTTTATGACATAAAATAACTCATGTTCTTGCGGTTGTGTACAAAAAGCATACATTTTTCAATAAAACAAGAATTCCTTAAGCAATTTAAAAGAATTGAGAATGCGGAATATTTGCTTTGAGACATCTTAAAACCTTTTTTTTCAGCCCTTAAGGCAGGAAATAATTCATGCACTTTTAATTGTGTAGAACAAACATACATTTTTCAAAAGGCCAGCAACCGGAAAATCGTTTAACTATTAAGTTTACGGATCAAAATACATAATTGAGAATGCTGAACATTTGATTTAATTTTAAGAACAATCATTAATTTTTCAAAGGACCTTCAACCGTAAAATCGTCTAATTATTCCTGAAGCGATTAAAAATAATTGAGAATGCGGAACATTCGCTTTAAGGCATCTTTAAATCTTTTTTCTTAGCTCTTAACGCAGGAAAAACCTCATGCACTTTTAATCGTTTAACAATTCCTTTCACAATTCAATATAAATGAGATTGCTGAACAATTGATTTTCTATAATTGTAAGAACAATTATTAATTTTTCAAAATACAAGCAAACCGCAAAATCGTTTAACTATTCCTTAAGCGATTAAAAATAATTGAGAATGCGGAACATTCGCTTTAAGACAAACACGACGACTTGAAAGGGGCCAGTGGGGCATGTCCTGTTGGATTCCTGCCGCCATCCTGCCACTAATGAAGACCCTTTCCCTCACCCCTCGAAATGTGCGCTCCTGTCTGCCGACCACCAAACAAAATCGATTGCCATTAATTCCGCTTCAATGAGTTGGCTAAATTGCTCGTTAGGATGGCGGCGGAGGACAGGACATGGCGTGGTCCTCGTCCTGCTCCTGCGTTTCCTTTGGCTCGTCCTGCCATTTTATATTCCTCCGCTGCGAGGTGCAAGTGCCTTGGGTGTCAGTTTCAATCAGCCTTGGCAGCACACACTCACACTCGCACTCACACGTGTTCGCCAGTCGCAATCTGGGTTATCTCTTAAATATTTGATTCCCAGCGAATTAAGCTTAATGAGTGCCTTTCCCGCCCGACAGGCAAGTCAAAACGATTCCAATGATGTGAAAATTGTACGACCTGGACAACTGACAGCCCCATTCTAGCTGACCACTAGGAAAAAGTGGCTTAAACTGTGTAACGACATCTAGATATCCGGGAATAATGCTTATTTTCACGAGCATTCACCTTTTACTTTAAATTATAACATTTGCACTGCGGCTTTAATGAAGAATATCCATTAAAATCTCATCAAAGTCAGTTATCATGAGTTTTATATGCTCACAGTTAGGTGAAAACCCATTAAAAATAATATGCTTGACAACATTAATTATTGTGTCTTATTTTTGGCGGATTCAAACTTTAACGACACATAATTGGTAATTTAATAAGTCTAGACCGCTCGACAAATTTGAACAACATTTTGCTTGACAAATACGATAATTATGGCACTAATGTGAAAATTTATAATTGCGGTGAAAGCTTTTATTTATATTTTTTTTTGAGCAAATCCCAGAGACAGCTTGGTGCAAATGTATAAAACACACTTCTAATGGGGCGAAAACACAATAATTAATGCGGCAAGTTAATATGGTTTTAATACGCTGAAATTTGGTGGAAAGAAATTTCACAATGTCACGTTTGACATATTAATTATTGTGGCACATTTATGGCAGTAACGATTTAATTACACACTAATCTAATTGGACATATTTTAAGCTATAGAAAATACTAAAGGAAAAAGTATATAAAAGTCATACTAATTAATTACTTTCACCACCTTTTCATTGGGAAAAATAACCCATAGAAGTGTTGTACATTTGTGGAGAAAAATTTTATGAAATTAAATTAAGCCCTTAATAATAATTCCTTAATTGCTTTCCACATTTTTTCAGTGACCTACATCAGCTCTAATGCATTATACCTTTATGCCAAGCAAACACCAGCTAATTTCCAGCAAGCCATACTCTATTGAATGGCTACTTTCTTGCATTCATGTTCAACAGACAATTTACCTGGCTGGGGAATGATCGTTATTGGCGATTAACCCCATTATTAGTCAATTTCCGACGTTTTAGGCCAGCGTTTCGTCAAAACTGTCAAATACCAAAAGGTCCTTGGGATGTGGGGATGTGGCAATGGGTGGATATCGGTGGATTGGGGGAGGGGGTTATTAATGGCTGTAGGCAAACACAATTTCAACTTGTGTTGGCGGGGCTATTACTCCTCTATTGGGCTGTTGTGTCTCGGATAACGTGGCTACTGTGGGTGTCAAATGGCCCCCATTAGGGTTATAGCCAAGTCTCTTTATATGTGTGTGTGTGTGTGTGTGGGCCATCTATGTTGCATTGAATAAGAATTGCCCAGAGCTGGTCGTCGATGCCATCGATATCCTGTTAAATATTAAGAGGCAGAAGGAGCCCTTCATCGCCTGCTGTCCGGCATTTTAGAACGAACTATTTCTGGTATTTCTGGAATAAATGCAATGTGCATTCCTCTTGCATTTTCTATGCAATCGATACGATGTACACAACAAGTTACTGAATTTCTAATAAAGGAGGTGAGGTGCCTCGTTATTATTCAATGAAAAATGTCTTTGAAAAAGAAAACCTTAATATAAACGTACCTAAAACTTAAATTATTACTTCGCTTCGACTTATAAAAGTAGCCTGGTTTCTTTGTTTTAATACCATTTATGAAAATAATGTTGTACTCCTTTAGTACACTTAGGTTGAAAATGCAGAGTATTTAGTTAGTTTGAAGTACTTTTACTCCCTTAGTTTCCGTATTATGGTTTGGTAGAAAAGAGAAACGTATTTCCTTTGTAAAAAAATGACTTTTTTATGCGAAACGAACTCGGAATTCGTAATATCTATGTTCGTAATTATATGTTTCTGGCTTTTTTATAATTTTTCAAAGTCATCACTTAGGCTTTTATATTTACATACAAAAAAGAACTTCAAAGTTGAAAATGATAATAGTTTTGGTCGAAGAAAATTGCAAGAAATTCTGGAAAACAAAAACCATGTTAAACCAGAAAGAATTTACCAGTGGTTGAGTTTTCTTTTGAAACTATTTTTAATACATTCTTATTCTATGTTTATTCAAGTAATCTAAATTTATATTTTCTTTATAAAAATATATTTTTCCTTATATTGTGTGAGCCGATTCCGAAGTCCAATCACCACCGCACACACATATGTCGCCCGCAATTCAATAAACGCGTTATCGAGCCAATCTCGACTGGATATGACCATATTCCCTGCCAACTTTATTAATGGATCCAGGCTCGGTGGCCAAAATGCTCTGACCCCTGACCGCTGGTGATTTGCACAATCGAATGAGTGCCCGGCCCAGCCTCCACGAACTAAAATGAAAATAAAATATTGGCACTGACGCGCAAGACATAAATAAATAAATAAATGATAATAAGCTAAAGGCCGCAACAGGCAGCAGAAAAACGGAACCGGGAAAGCCGGGAAAGCGGCAGAGAGGAAAATGGCCTTGGGGAAACAGTCGGACAGAGTCAGCAAATTCGGAAGGACGAAAACACGAAACGGGCTGAACTGAAACGTATGAAACGTATGGGAGGCATTAATAATAAATCCGTTGCAGCGAATGTGTGTTAGCCCGCTTAGCTGCTCATTTTTTGTATAAATATTTAAGCGCAGGAGAAAAGAAAATAACAACAGCCCAATTCCGGGCAGGCCAGAATTAGAACAGTCTCCCTCCTTTGCTTTCATTTGCAAATGCCAGCGAGCCGAAAGTTTTCCCAGCCGTTATTACCTGCATTTGTATGCCAAGGAGAAGCCCTGCCGAAAAGTGTGCCACACAACTTGCTCCTCCTTTTCTCTGTTTCTCCGTTTCTCCGTTTCTCCTTTTCCCTGCTTCTCGTTTTCTCGTGTCTCTTGTCTCCTGCAGCGGCGGAAATAGAGAGAAAGCCGGAGAAAGCAAGCAAATATGCGTGCGTGTTTGCAAGGGTATTGAGTATATTTTGCTTTTTCGGCACAGCTGGGACTTGGAAAGTGCACAGTGGATTTGATAAGACACCATTGGCTTTTTTAAGTACGCTGGGGAACTAGAGATTCAATATACTAAGAGGCCACAGTGCGTATGAGTTTTATTTGTTATTGGTATTTGTTCTTTATTTTCCCTAGAGTCACTTATTTTATAAGATCCATTGTTGATATCAATATTATTATATTATATTTTTTTGTATTGTTATATTAATTCATAATTTACTATACTTTATTTAACATATGATATGCGACATTTTTAACGACTAAATACGTTGAAGAAATCACAATGGTGCAACGCTTTTCCATGATTCATTTCACTTTACGAGTTCTTTAAGTTCACATGTCAGTATAGGCAATATAAGAACCTTTTTATTATGTTTACTCGAACAGCTAGAAACCCATTTGGACCAGTGTGCAATGGAATTTGTGATGGCTCTCATTGAAATAAAAGTTTATGCCGCCATCAGGCA